TCTCCTCGCTTCGGCCCGAGAGCTGCTACACCAGAGCTGGCCAAATGCGCCACGACCCGAGGACATACCTGGAATTGACCTCGACACGCCGAGGACCACCCGTTCATTCGTGACTCCGCCACATCGACTCACTCAGACGACATCGCCCGACTCTCCCCAATCATTTTGCGAATCCCTGCCACTCCATGCACGCCGCTCCCCAATTAAGTCGACCTTGCTGCTGACAACAACAACAGAACACATGAGTTGTGTTCCACCTCGTCTTACTTATTCAGATGCGAGCCTCTTCTGATTAAAAACAAACTAGTTTCGTAAATAAGAATGCATGATTTTACTCGCACGCAATACAGAATTCAACGTCGAGCACTCACTGGCGGTCAGGAGTCTGCTTATCTCTCTACTATCGCTACTACCGTGGTTACTCTTGAACTTCACTCGTCGATTGCTCCAATGTTGACGACTCGGTCTACACCAGACACCGGTTCGACCCATCCACACGGTTCAACTACCAACACATTGCAGGTCACAACACACACTCATCCACTCACCGACCCACTCACTCGCCCACTCGCTAATTCAACCACCCACTCGTTCGCTCGCCACACTGCAGGTCACCTCGTTTCTCGTTCTGCTTCTTCGCCCTGACTGCGCAACTTTGGAATTCTCTCCTCTCCCTGTCACCCTCCCTTACCGGTGCCCCATTGGCCTTGCCCACTCCAACAAACCTCGTCAACTCTTTGTCACAACGCTAGGCCCCGGGTTGCCGGACATCGCCGCGCGTTGGGACGTTGAGCCCCGCGTTCGGCGGCAGTGGGGGCCACAGCCGCCGTCGTCTGCGGGGCTGAGTGCGCACGGGACGGGCACGTGGTGTGGGTCCGGGCAAAGTGCTGTCGGGAAGGACGGTTAGGGGTGCATGTGGAGCCTGCGGGGGGAAGGGGGGTGGGTTTATGGGGAGGAGGAGGTGGTGGTGGAAGAGGTGGTGGAGGAGGAGGTGATGGAGGAGGTGGTGGTAGAGGAGAAGGTGGTGGAGGAGGAGGTGGTAGTGGAGGAGGTGGACAACGAGTTGGAGGAGTTGGTGGGCGACGAGGTGGAGGTGGTGGTGGAGGAGGTGATGGTGGAGGTGGTGGAGGAGGTGGTGGTGGTGTTGGAGGAGGTCGTGGTGGGGCGCCACGGTGGCGAGATGTTGACTACCTCGCCTGGTGTACAGGAGATTGTGGGTTCCATCCTGACGCCTGCTGCTGTATATTTTGAGTGTGCCGTGTCTCTCTCTCTCTCTCACCCCGTGGCCGCGTGGATTTTTCTCCGGGTCCTGCGGTGTTATTCCCCTCCACATTTAGCATCAACATCACGCGTTCGGGAGTTTTGGCGGCTGCTATAAATGTCACCGTGATGAATGGCCACTTCGTTGAGCTCTCATCTGTGATAGCCAGGTCGCTTCTGAAAAAAGAGCGACATAACTCAGTAGGCCTTACACCTGATAAAATAAAAATAGTTAGTTTAGGATGCTGGAGGTCGCGGTGGAAGGGGTGGTGCGTGGTATTTCCTTGTTGTGATAACTTTATTTGCTGTTGCTCATTGTTTTGGTGCAATTTCTTAATTTGTTTATTCATATATATAATAAAAAAAAACTACTTTGTAGTAGTAGTGTGTTCATTTGCTCGGTGTGTTTGCGCGTGTGTTCGGCTTCTTTCGCGCCGTGCTTCGCCAGCCAACCGGGATGTGGTCCTTACATATATCTGTATCATTAATTTAAAGCGTTGTGGGATGCTGTCGGCATGATCGACGCTGCTTTATACAATTAAAGTATACTTATTATTGTTGTTAAATAGAGTGCACAACCCCGTTGTCCCTCACGGCTGATGGCGCTCTGTGGCCAACGAGGAAGCCTAAATTCCCACTTTGGAAACAACAACGACAACGACAATGTCCGTCTGGTGAGACCTTCAGTGCCGCACGGTGGAACACGACGCCCGGTGCCAGCAGGCGCGTGACCCCGGCTGGTGTGACCCCGGCTGGCGTGACCCCGGCTCGCGTGACCCCGGCTCGCGTGACCCCGGCTCGCGTAACCCCGGCTCGCGTGACCCCGGCTCGCGTGACGCCGCGAGGCTCGGGTAACGCGACAACACGGGCAGGTGGACGGCGACGAGGACGTTTTGTGATGAACACTCCACGCGTCCTCTACTCACCCCCCCTACCCCCCCCCCTCTCTCACCTCACTCCCCTCTCACCTCACTCCCCTCTCACCTCACTCACCTCTCACTCCCCTCTCACCTCACTCCCCTCTCACCTCACTCACCTCTCACTCACCTCTCACCTCACTCCACTCTCACCTCACTCCCCTCTCACCTCACTCCCCTCTCACCTCCCTCCCCTCTCACTCCCCTCTCACCTCACTCCCCTCTCACCTCACTCCCCTCTCACTCCCCTCTCACCTCACTCCCCTCTCACTCACCTCTCACCTCACTCACCTCTCACCTCACTCACCTCTCACCTCACTCCCCTCTCACCTCACTCCCCTCTCACCTCACTACCCTCTCACCTCGTCACTGATAATGTAGTCACTACGTCACTGATAATGTAGTCACTACGTCACTGATAATGAAGTTACTACGTCACTGATAATGTAGTTACTACGTCACTGATAATGAAGTTACTACGTCACTGATAATGTAGTTACTACGTCACTGATAATGTAGTCACTATGTCACTGATAATATAGTTACTACGCCACTGATAATGTAGTTACTACACCACTAATAATGTAGTTACTACGTCACTGATAATGTAGTTACTACGTCACTGATAATGTAGTTACTACGTCACTGATAATGTAGTTACTACGTCACTGATAATGTAGTCACTACACCACTGATAATGTAGTTACTACACCACTGATAATGTAGTTACTACACCACTGATAATGTAGTCACTACACCACTGATAATGTAGTTACTACACCACAATGTAGTTACTACACCACTGATAATGTAGTCACTATGTCACTGATAATATAGTTACTATGTCACTGATAATGTAGTTACTACACCACTAATAATGTAGTTACTACGTCACTGATAATGTAGTTACTACATCACTGATAATGTAGTTACTACGTCACTGATAATGTAGTTACTACACCATTGATAATGTAGTCACTAGGCCACTGATAATGTAGTTACTACGTCACTGATAATGTAGTCACTATGTCACTGATAATATAGTTACTACGCCACTGATAATGTAGTTACTACGCCACTAATAATGTAGTTACTACGCCACTGATAATGTAGTTACTACGTCACTGATAATGTGTCACTATGTCACTGATAATGTAGTTACTACACCACTGATAATGTAGTTACTACACCACTAATAATGTAGTTACTACGCCACTGATAATGTAGTTACTACGTCACTGATAATGTAGTTACTACGTCACTGATAATGTAGTTGCTACGCCAATGATGTCGCTACTACACCACTGCTCACACTCCACCCCTCTCTCTTCTCCCCCCTCAACTCTTTCCTGTCCACCCCTCTCACTCACTCCACTCCCAGCCACAACATCCTCTGCTATTCGTGACCCAAGGAGTTCTCACGACTCGCCTCGAGTCAACCTTCGCCCAGCGTTTGCTTCGCTCATTCTCCTCCTCCTCCTCCCTCCCTCCTCCGCTGGCCCCTCAATTTGTAACTCCATTGCTCCCCTACTACCACCACCACCCAGTATTCCGTGCTGCCGACTCCCTGCAACCCCCCTCTGTCCAAGTCCAGGGTTCGTGCCGTGTTTTTCTCTGCGGCAGAACGTGGCCCCACGGGTGATGAAGAACGTGAGATGCGGTCACGTGCAGGAGCCGTACCAAATATCAAGATGCGTTGCATTTTTTTGCTTTTAAATTATCTCGATTGAAAACTCATTTCTGTTTGGACCGATTGTTTATGTTTTGATGTCCCCCCCACCCCCATGCACCTCAGAATAGCACGGTTGGCTATGCACGGTGCGAAAGAAGTTCAACATACGTGCGTACGTGTGGTAGAATGAATCTGTAAGATGACGTGTGGGTGACTCCCATCTCTTCCCACGGCGTCTGGCGAGCTTGGCAGAGAAGGCAAAATGCCCTCTCAAAGGGGCTCGCTATAACTCTCTTCAGTGTAGGCAGTGGCCTGAGCACGGTTGGCGATGCACGATGTGAAAGAAGTTCAACGTACATACAGTACATACAGTACATCGCCGCACGGATCTCTGCAGAGCGCCACCGGTGCACTGCAGAATCTCTGCATCGTCCCAGAGCGGACCCTCTTGGGATACAGAACCCCCCACCCTCACTCCCCCTACCTCACTCCCCCCCACCCTCACTTTCCCCTACCCCACTCCCACTTCCCCCCACCCCACCCAACCCCCACCCCACTCCCCCCCACCCAACCCCCACTCCCCCCAACCCCACTCCCCCACACCCCACTCCCCCCCACTTCCACCCCACTCCCCCCACCCAACCCCCACTCCCCCCAACCCCACTCCCCCACACCCCACTCCCCCCCACTTCCACCCCACTCCCCCCCCACCCAACCCCCACTCCCCCCCACCCTCACTTCCCCCCACCCAACCCCAACCCCCACTCCCCCCAACCCCACTCCCCCACACCCCACTCCCCCCACTTCCACCCCACTCCCCCCCACCCAACCCTACTCCCCCACACCAACTCCCCCCAACCCCACTCCCCCCACACAGCACCCACTCCCCCCCACTCCCCCCACACAGCACCCACTCCCCCCCACTCCCCCCACACAGCACCCACTCCCCCTCACTCCCCCCCCCCCACGGGACGGGTCGTGCGGCAGCGTGCTCGTGAGAGAGAGAGGGGGGGGGACCCGGGTGGCGACGTGAACTCAACAACACGTGCGACCACCGTGACCACCGCGTCTCCGACTGAGTGTGTGTGCGACTCACGCCACCCGCACGCACACACAAGCCTCGAGCGAGAGAACGAAGAGGAGACGCACGACACAGGCATGGGTTCATTCCAGTGATCTGACAGAATTTGTGTTCTTATCCAACCACGATTTTGGAAGCGGAACGAGGCCAGCGAGCGCGAGGTCTGGTGGACTGGGCGCGCGCACTGCGCGGAACTCCCCTCCATTGCCCGTGCGCGTCGATGGTCCACATCTTCTCTCCGACTGATGGCCCAGGGTACGGTGGCAGTACAGCAAGTGGGTTATAATTTCCATCTTGCTACGGGAGGTCGAGTGTTACTAACCTCCCTCGCTCCGTCACACTGCGTGAGTTTTCTCCGGGAACTCCGGTTTTTTTTGCCGCAAGTATGAGCGCTCGATTGATTTTCTGCGCCACCGAATAATTATCTTGCATGAGTTAGTATTACACATTACACATTCTAAATGAATATTAAAATATAAATCAGCAACGACCCGAGGGGATGCGATGAGATCCTAATGATGAATGTACCTCGTGTCTCGCGCAAATTTGGTTCACGGATGACTCGAGAGCTACTTTGGGGCACATTATTTTAGATATAAATTATAAATGGAATGAAATCACAAGAGTTGGTGATTTTCCTGCTGAAATGAGCATTGTGGTGGCACTGATCTCCTGTTTGCAGCTCTGAGCCAGTGGTGGAAATTCCTCATTCCTATGGCGGGGCAGGTCTAACCATAAGACAGCCACTACAAACCAGTGACTCATTTTATCTACCCCAGAGGGATGATGGTCTGTGTCAACTTCCCATCCAGGATTCGAAGTCAGCAACTTCCTTTCCTATACCCTGCACTCTTATCGTGTTTGTGAGTCTTGTGTTTGTTGTTGTAACGTTCTGACCCCCGTGCCCCTACTGGACCATCTGTGAAAAAGAGCTTCATAGCTCATCGGATTCCTCCGGTCTAAATAATATTCAAACTCCGATTGCGAGTCGCTCGCTCGCTCGGCGAGGCGAGAAGACCAGAAAGCCGCGTGACGATGCAGCGTGGTGACGTCACAGACGACGTGCGCCCCCCCCCCCAACCCGCACCCCTCCCCCCACGTGACGGCTCAGAGCAGGGCACAGGTGCGCGATGAGCCGCCGCGTCTGCCGGGCACGGCGGCCTCCTCGTGGCCCCTCGTGGCCCCCACGGCCCCACTGCCGCCATGGTCGTCCTGCAGCCCCCGCGTCCACTCCGCCCGCGCGGCGGCCTCCGGCACGGCCTCCGCCTGCTCCCGGCACGGGCCGCCCAGGGCGCTGGGCCTGCGAGAGCACACGCTGGACGACGCTTTGATGTAGCGCAGGGGGTCGTACCTGCGGATGGCAAGCGCAACCGGTGAAGAGGCCGTGACCCGCCGTGCTGAGTGTAGGAGTGACCTTGGCTGGAAACCGTCACCGGCAACAACGTTAACGGTGAATTGCGGTGTTGACCGTGATTACGGTGTTAACCGTGGTCATCGTGGTTGGCTGCGTAGGGTGCGAAAGAAGTTTAACACATACATACAACTTGGCGGGCAACAGGATGCGGTGACGGGGGGTTCTACTCTGGCCAACTGCACTCAGTTTAAACTATAAACTAAAAGTAAACATTTTATTTTATTTTACTAGGTAAGGCCAGCTGAGCTACGTAGCTCTTTTTCAGAAGCGACCTGGCTGTCACAAATGATAGCTCAATAAATTGCCTTATCACGTGGAAATCTATATCAGCAGGCAAATACTCTAAATGCTCGTTTATAAATGTGGAGGGAAAACCCGGAGGACCCGGAGAAAAATCCACGCGACCACGGGGAGAAAGACACCGCAAACTCCAAATATACAGCAGCAGGCGTCAGGGTTGGGATTGAACCCACGAACTCCATTTTGTCTCAAGAGTCTTGAGCCAGTGGTGAAGTTCTCCATTTCACAGAATAACCACTGTTAAATTCCCCAGGAAATGGCATGTATTTTATCGACCCACATGGGGATGATGGGTCCAGTCAACCCCCAAGTAGGATTCGAACCCCACAAATTTCCGAATGTGAGCCGCGCTCACTGAGCCTTGTGGCCCATTGTAATGTTGTTGTTAATTGTAATGTTGTTAATTGTAATGTTGTTAATTGGAATGTTGTTAATTGGAATGTTGTTGTTAATTGTAATGTTGTTGTTAATTGTAATGTTGTTAATTGGAATGTTGTTGTTAATTGTAATGTTGTTGTTAATTGTAATGTTGTTGTTAATTGTAATGTTGCTGTTAATTGTAATGTTGTTAATTGTAATGTTGTTGTTAATTGTAATTCATTCACGAACATCGTTGACGCTAAATGAGATGGGAACACGCACAGGTGCTGGCGTGGCTTGCTGTTTCACGGGACCACTGAAGACGGTGGCTGGTGACTGCCAACTCATCGATGTGAAGTCCGATCTCTTCTGTAACGCGTTACATCCAATTCATAACGCGGTTGTGCGGCTGCCTCGTGTAGCATCATCTCGTAAGGCGGGATGCTGCTGGATGCTTATAGATGCTACCTGCACGCCTCAGTCTTTGTTTGGCCAGCATCTCATGTGTTATCGCGGACCGTGTGCTACATTATACATTATCTATCATGACGCGATTTTTGTTTCAGAACGCGGTTGTTCTTCGGGAGCGCAACTCCCACCGCAACTCCCACCGCAGGGTTTGGTGGAACATGTTGTTTATGTCGTTTATTGTGAAAATTTGGTCACAGTTCCTATGATCACTGTTACATTGCTTTTATGGCTTTATTTTGGCGAATTCGAAAACGTTTTTTGGTTTGGCCGTGTTTGTTTGTTGTAGTACGGAGTTAGACTGATGGCCTTAATCTAAGTTTTCTTGTGGTTGTTGTTGTTTGACTTGCATCCCACTGGGATTTTTGCACACAGCGTTGGTGTACGGTGCTTTTTCTGGAATATTTTGCTGTTTTTTCCTGGATTTTCTATTTGCACGGTCACATTGTCACTTTAAGATGTTTTCTTGTTCGTGTTTTTGTTTGTTGCGGTTGCACCCGATTTAAGAGCCGAATGGTTCACAGGGCTACACCAAATAAATGAAACTGAAAACTGAAGCATTGCAGCAGAACGGGCTGTGTTTGGCATGAACGCAGCACGCTTGGCGGTGCTGAGCGCTCACCCTGGGGCGAGGCGCGGGGGGCAGCGGAACTCGAGACGCAGGACGTATCCGAGGCGCGTGCAGGCCAGCACCAGGCAGGCCCACGCCGGCCGCGCCTCGGGCCCCAGTTGCTCGCCCGAGGGCCCTCCCCGCGTCTCCATGGCGATCACGCGCGTCACCGTCGCGTACACGTACTGCACCTTCAGCAGGATACCTGCGCCGAGGGGGAGGGGAGAAGGGGAGGGGGGGACACGACTCCCGGTGTCAGCGCGAATGCGGCGGTGGCGGCGGCGAAAGGCGCGCCGGCGCGGGCGCTTTGGGGCGGCTCGGTACGGCGGGGCTCACCAGTCACGACGCACCACACCTTGATGGAGCGGTCGCGCGAGCCGGTGAACAGGAACCGCTCCTCGGGGGAGAAGGCGGCAGAGGTGACGCCCTGGTAGAAGGCTCCCTGCGCCCAACACAGAGACAAAGTTGCCCCAGTGTTGGGGCGAGTGCTGTTAGCGAGCAGCACCTACGAAGGCCGGCACAGCGCACGACAGGTGCCCCGTGTCACGCCCCGCCACATTTGTCTCCCCAGTAGCGATTTTGTACACATCGCACCAGGTACTCAGTTGGGGCTGGGAGGCCCAGGACCGGTTCTGACAGTCATCACTGGTGTGATTGGTCGTGAGCAGAAATGAGACCTGAGACGCTGGGGTGACTGCCGCACTACCGCTCCCCACAATGCACGCACGCACGCACAGGTACATACACCGGCACACACGCACGCACGCGCGGGCTGTGGTGAGCCGTGCCGGGCGGCCATGCACGCACCCTCGACGCTCACCTGGTACGTGTACTCGTGCAGCACCTGCCAGGTGCGCGCGCACCACAGCCGCTGCAGCGTGCCATCGCAGCCCGCGAAGGCATATCGCCCGCCGGGGCTCAGCAGCACGCACGAGACGCGCGTGCCGTAGCCCTCCAGCTCCACGCAACGCTCTCCACCGTCGCCGCCGCCGCCGTCGTCAGCGCGGTCCTTGGTCCGGGACGATCCCTCCGTGACCGGCGACGACGCCGGCTCCCGGTCCCCTTTGCCGGCGGGCGTGGGCGGTCTCCGCAGCGCGAGGCCCAGCTGCCCCGAGTCGCTGCCCCACATAGCGCCGGCCAGCCCGGGCAGCAGCGCCACGGCGCTCAGCGCCCCGCGGCACGCTGCCTCCAGCACGCACTGGCACAGCCACGTCTGCACGCGCCGGAGTCGACCGCGACAATCGCATCCCCACGCACTCCATCACCCGCCACAACCGTCGCCGCCACTGTCGCGACGCCCCCCGCCCCCCCCCGCCGCCCCCCGCCTCCCCACCACCCCCCCCCCCCCCCGGTACCTTTGTGCAGTGCACGGCGACGCGATTGGAGGAGAGCCCCACGGCCAGGCGCGAGTCCCCGGCCCCCAGCGCCAAGCACGTGACGCTCACCGCCCCGGCCACCCCCAGCTCGGCCGCCACAGCCCACGGCGCGTCGGCGGGGGGCACGGCCCCCTCTCGGCCGCTCTCCTGCAGAAAACGCACGGCCACTGGCTTGGGTCGCTCGGCACCGTTAAAGCCGCACCTCGTCTCGACGATCCCCGGCGACCCACAGCGGCCCGGCCGAGGGATAACCCCACCCCGGTGGTAGCCGTGCCTGTAAGCGGAGCGAGGTGTACGTGGCACCCGCATGAAAGTGGGTATAGCCTAGGGGGTAACGGCAACCAAAACGCCAAGGTAGAAGAGCCATTGGTTTTGCTAATTCGGTAAAGAAACCCTCAATATTATTTCAAGAGCCGCGATACACTGTTGGTTAGTTAGTTAGTTCATTTATTTGGTATAGCCCTGTGAGCCATTCGGCTCTTGAATCGGGTGCAACCGCAACAAAAAAAAAAACATGAACAAGAAAACATCTTAAAGTGATTATGTGACTGTGCAAACAGAAAATACAGGAAAAAAACAGCAAAATATTCCTGAAATAGCACCGTACACCAACGCTGTGTGCAAAAATCCCAGTGGGATGCAAGTCAAAATAACAACAACAACAACAACCACAAGACAACTAAGATTAAGGCCATCAGTCAACTCCGTACTACAATAAACAAAAACATGGCCAAAACAAAAAAAACAGTGATCATAGGGACTGTGACCGAATTTTTTTACTATAAACTACATAAATTAATTATAACACCAAAATCTAGAGCCATATTTTAGGTGAGACGGCGGTCTTTAATGAATAACGTCACGAGGCAGTCCTTAATGAGCCGTACGTGGCTCCGGAGCCACGTGTTGCCAATCCTGGTAAACTGGACTTCCATGGTAAACTGGACTTCCATGGTAAACTGGACTTCCATAATAAACTGGACTTCCATGGTAAACTGGACTTCCATGGTAAACTGGACTTCCATGGTAAACTGGACTTCCATGGTCAGGGGTCAGAAATCAAAATAACAAGAAAAGACAAAAACAAATTCCAATTTAAGCGCTGCACTGCGGTCTTTAAAGAGCCGCACGCGGCTCCAGAGTTGCCGACCCCTGCTACACCCTGTGAGCAGGAGCACCTGTTACTCTGTGATTTACCAATCAAGCAATCATACAGATTTGGAGCGTTAGACTGGCACGCTTTGACCTGCTCTATTCAAGTGATGCCGCAGGATCATCGACTTGCACTTTGAGTGAAGCGGCCGACGGGAGTGTGGTATGGTTAATATGGCGGCAGGGTTAGCCCTCAAACACCCCGTCCCAGTCTCTCCTGGCCATGCCCCCCTGTGTGGCCATGCCCTCCTGTGTGGCCATGCCCCCCTGTGTGGCCATACCCTCCTGTGTGGCCATGCCCTCCTGTGTGACCATACCATCCTGTGTGGCCATGCCCTCTTGTGTGGTTATGACCTCCTGTGTGGTTATGCCCCCCTGTGTGGCCATGCCCTCCTGTGTGGCCATGCCCTCCTATGTGACCATGCCCTCCTGTGTGGCCATGCCCTCCTGTGTGGCCATGTTCTCCTGTGTGGTCATGCCCCCCTGTGTGGCCATGCCCTCCTGTATGTCCATGCCCTCCTGTGTGGCCATGCCTCCTGTGTGGCCATGCCCTCCTGTGTGGCCATGCTCTCCTGTGTGGCCATGCCCTCCTGCTCGTTGTAGTGCGGTACGAGGGGCAGCCAGGGTCATGCCTCGTTCGTTCGTTCGTTAATTCATTCTGAACATTTTAACCAAACGCTGTGGCTGCGCATCAGCGGGTGGAAACAGCATGGACTGTGAAAGCTTCTGTTGACTCCGCTGCTCCTGTCTCAAGCCCTGAGCCAGTAGTGGTATTTCCACATTCCTATGGTGGGGGCGAGTCTATCCATAGGACAACCACTGTTGATTTCTCCACACACCGATAGACACACAGCTACTCTTTGGTTCTATTCGGTAAAGTCACGTAGGTAAAAAAAAAACACGACGTTTCGGCCACAACACAAGCGGCCTTCATCAGGTGAAGGGACCAGCCTGTCTCGAAGACTGCGCTGGAGTGAAACAGAGCCAAGCTCAGACTGCACCTTTAAGCTGTGTGAGAGGGATTAAGGTGCCTTGACAAAGGAATTAGCGTAAAAATTAGCATTTTATTGGCGGACTTAGCATGATGAAAGGTGTAGCACGCGGCAGTGCAACTTTAAGCTGTGTGAGAGGGATTAAGGTGCCTTGACAAAGGAATTAGCGTAAAAATTAGCATTTGACTGGCGGATTTAGCATGATGAAAGGTGTAGCACACGGCAGTGCACCTTTAAGCTGTGTGAGAGGGATTAAGGTACCCTTGACAAAGGAATTAGCGTAAAAATTAGCATTTGATTGGCGGACTTATCATGATGAAAGGTGTAGCACAGTGATCGGCACCGGCAGTGCACCAGCCTGTGCTGCGAAAGTTTGGGGTACCACTACTTGAATAAATATACTGTACCAATGAAAATTAGTTTAATGTTTAGTTCGATTTAGAACATCTTTCCAATGGTTGCTTAATTTGAAACCATCTTCTCGGTTGAAATTGTGTCTGTGCTTGTAGATCTGAATTGCCTCGTGAACAAATCTCTGATAAAAACCTGTGGTTTTGCAAAGAACCTTGGTATCGGAGAAAATTATATCGTGATCACCCACAGCGTTGTAACAGTGATCAGCCACGGCAGAAGAATTCGTTCTGCCGTGTTTCAAATCTGATTTGTGCTCGCGAATTCGGTCAGAGACATGTCGCTTCGTCTCCCTGATATAGCAATCACCGCAGGTACAACTCAATTTGTAAACCCCGGGGTACTGTAAGTCAGGAATGACATCCTTCACGGATGATTTTTTTACCTACGTGACTTTACCGAATAGAACCAAAGAGTATGGATCCTTACAGTCACGAAAGCTTCAAATCTAGACACACACCAGTGTATATGCGAGTGCATACACACACACCTGTGTATCTGTGTGTGTGTGTGTACAAAGACAAAGATCCCCCTATAGCCTTAACAGACTGTTGGGACAAGCACTGTAAGCGAGCACCTATCAAGGCCGCCAGGCACCCGTGAATCTGTGTGTGCGTGTGTGAGGGGAGTGAGTGGGGTGGGGAGAGTGAGGAGAGTGGAGTGAGTGGGGTGAGGAGGGTGAGGGGAGTGAGGAGGAAAGTGAGGAGGGTGAGTGGGGTCAGGAGGGTGAGGGGGGTAAGGGGGTTGGGGTGAGAGGGGTGAGAGGGGTGAAGGGGGTGAGGAGATTGAGGCGGGTGAGCGAGCGCCGGTGCCGTGGCGATGCTCACCGCGGTGTCCAGCTGTGGAGTCAGCGCCAGCACGAGGCCTGAGCTGAGACCGATGACGATGAGGTCGCGACCCCTTGCACAATCCACGCTCGTCACGTGCGCAGGGCAGCTCACGAGCTGGCGCGGTGCTCCTGGCACGGGGCGGTGACGCACGGCGCAGCGGTGACAGCAGCAGTAGCGGCAATGTCGATGTTTACACACCGCAACAGGTACTCATTTGAGGCTGAGTCGACCTAAGGGAGGCCCAGGACTGGTTCGGATAATCGTCAATGATGTTGGCCGTGAACGGGAATCGAACTCGGGTCGCCGAGTTCGTAGTGCGGTGCGCTAACTGCTACACTAGCGCTCCCCACACCTGTGCATATGTGTGCGAGTACACACACGCACCTGTGTATCTGTGTGAGTACACGCACGCACGCACACACCTGTGCGCGTGTCCCACAGAACAACACGCGACGCCTCCTCCATGTCCTGCAGCACCACGGTGGCCGCGTCCACCGTCAGGGCCACGAGGCCGCTGCGGTCGTGAAACGGGGGGCTCAGGAGCCCCCCGGCGCTGCCACCCCCGGGGTCCCCGCGCAGGCGTCTCTCACCCACGTCCCACACCTGCCGGAGGCGCGGAGGGAGGGGGGCAACGCCATCACGGCACGGGCGCGGCCGGCAGAGGGGCTCGCGGACGCCCGCCGGTGAGTCCGTGGTGCATGACGGTGGTAGCGACTTTGGTGGCGGCAGCGGTGGTGGTGGTGGTGGCCGTGTCGCTGGTGGCTCATGACGGTGGCGGTGTTGGTCATGCCGGTGGCGTGGGTAGTGTGCGGGCGGTGCGGTTGGCGGGCACGGTGGTGCGAGCGGAGGTTGCGGTGGTGCCACCTTGAGGTAGTAAGCCTGGCGCGAAGCCGACACCAAGATTCCATCGGCGGCGAGGCACAGCGCCGTGACGGCCATGCCCATCCCCTCGATGCACTCGCGCAACGTCAGCCCGTCCCGCAGGTCCCACACCTGAGTACCGCACACGGCACACGCACGCGCATCGCACATCGTACGTACCAGAGCAACGCGCACGCGAGCTCGCTCCACCATACACGCTTTGTTGTCCTTACCCCCGGCACCAACGATTAGCACGGTTGGCTAAGTACAGTGCGAAAGAATCGCAGCGTACGTGCGCAGCGCTCAACACCGCCACAGCGCGCCCGGAGACCGCCACCGCCGACCCGCACGCTGAACGCCGCCGTCCCAACCTCAGAATCGGAATCTTCATTTATATTTGAGGAATCCGATGAGCTATGAAGCTCTTTTGACAGATGTCCAGTAAGGGGGCACGGGGTCGTTACAATGACAAACGATACAAAAACACAACGAGAGTGCAAAGTATAGGAAGGGTAAGCAAATTACATTAAATAAATACGTAATTCCCCCTACCTCTTATCCACCCCCCCCCCCCCCCTTTGTGTATGGTTCAGTAGCGTCGGGACTGTCCTCCGGGTACCGCGACATCTGATCATTATGCGAAGCCGCTTGTACCGTGCTCGCGTTTTGTTACAATGAAAAAAAAAAACATACCTAGAATCGACAAAGTATCTGAGGATATAAACATGCAGGCCCGGGCACACGGCCCGGAGTCTGGGGCAAAAAGAGCGCGTCGCTCACCCCGCTCCGGGAGCACGAAGCCTCACCGTGCCCACCGCTGGCGGTCGTGGGCGTCGTAGCTGGTCTGACGCACACGGAACCAACGAACCGTGTGCGGCGAGCCCTCGCTTAAGCACGCGGTGTTCCACAGCTGTCAAGCCATACGACGGGTTACCCCGTATTCTTGTACAGGCAAAATTCGTTTTCAGGTCCATACGGCATACAGCCGTTTCAATCCGGGCAAGAAAAAATTGTCTATTTGTTTGCGTTTCTCCCTTGTGGTGGGACTCTGTAGAATGAACGCGGAGATTTATAACTACACGGGGGTGACCAATACGGTCTGAATTGGTCTGTAATACGTTAGGGGGCACTGGTGACGGGTTGACAGGTATGTAGTGGTGAGTGTACTTGTGGTGATTGTATATTTGTTTGTGTTTCTCCCTTGTGATGGGACTTTGTAGGCTGAACGCTGAGATTTATAACGACACGGGGGTGACCAATAAGGTCTGAGTTGGTCTGTAATAAGTTAGGGCACTGATGAGGGGTTGACAGGTATGTAGTGGTGAGTGTACTTGTGGTGATTGTATATTTGTTTGTGTTTCTTCCTTGTAATGGGACTTTGTAGGCTGAACGCTGAGATTTATAACTACACGGGGGTGACCAATAAGGTCTGAATCGGTCTGTAATAAGTTAGGGGGCACTGATGAGGGGTTGACAGGTATGTATTTAGGGGTGAGTGTACTTGTGGTGATTGTATATTTGTTTGTGTTTCTCCCTTGTAATGGGACTTTGTAGGCTGAACGCGGAGACTTATAACGACACGGGTGTGACCAATACGGTCTGAATCGGTCTGTAATAAGTTAGGGGGCACTGATGAGGGGTTGACAGATATGGTGTTGACACAGCAACGCATTGTCGCTGTTCTTCCGTTCGGAAACACTTTTCGCGCACCACAACGCGGAACACGCGTCCCCCGTTGTTAGAACGCCGCTTCTGAGCGGTCGACGACGAACAGAGTCACACGGAATGATGCAGGAACGCGGCGGTACAGCCCCGGGCATTTTCGTCCCACCATCTCACCGCGTGTGCGCGGTTCGTCGTATCTCGCCAAAACTTTACCGGTACATTATTTACGGGGAAATTGTTACCGCTTCAACGCGTTAAAACGAGGAACACGTTGAACGAGGATTCGCCGTACATTGCGCACACACCGCTGTACGTCGCCGCACCACGCAACACATTTAGAAACTCGCATGAAAGTTATTGAGATTTATTTTGCTGCTATAAATCTCCACGTGATGAGCCAATTTGTCGAGCTATCAGTTGTGGCCAGTTTGCTTCCGAGTAAAATAAGTCACGTTCTCACCCTGGCGCTCCTGCTGGACATCTGTGAACAAGAGCTTTATAGCTCATCGGATTCTTCCCTCCTCCCGGTATGAATATTCTGATTCTGACTCTGACACACCACCCACGCCGCCCCCGTACGCCGCGGCGTCTTGCGAATGCGAGGGGGGGCGGAAGGCGAGAGGGGCGAGCGGTGCCGGCAGCGGGCCCGGGAGATGCCGCCCGAACCTTGATGGTCTCGTCCAGCGAGGCGCTGATGAGGGCCGTGCAGCCCGAGAAGACGGCGGCCTCCACGCGGTCCTGGTGGCGCGGCTCGACGGCGCGGCGCGCGGGGGCCTCGCCGGCGCCCCGCAGGTCGAACACGCACACGCGCTTGTCCACTCCTGACGCACGCACACACGCACACTTACATTCGTACTTCTACACGCACGTGCTTATCCACTCCTAACGCACGCACGCACCTACATACACACGCACACGCGCTTGTCCACTTCTGACGCATGCACAAGCACGCACTTACACACACACACATACACCCTTGCACACACGCACTTATCTACTCCTAACGCACGCACACACCTACATACACACTTACACACGCACACCCGTCTGTGTTATCTGAACCGATCCTGGGCCTCCCCTAGGTCGACTCAGACTCAAATGAGTACCTGTGTAAACATCGCCACTAGGGAGACAAAGGCAGCCGGGCGTGGTGCTGGCCATCCACCCCCTGGTGCGCCGTGCCGGCCTTCACATAGGTGCCAACTCCGCTAACGGCGCTCGCCCCAACGGGCTGCCGAGGCCACACAGTGGGAGACGTTTGTCCCATTTGTTTTGGGGGGGGGGGGGCGAGGGGGTAGGAGGCGAGGGTCACGAGCGTGTACTGCGAGCAGCCGAGGTGGGGGCAAAGGCGCGGGCTCTGACCGACGGCAGCGAGCGTGCAGTCGGGGCTCACGGCAATGAACCTGGGCTCCGCTCCCAGGGCCTCGGTGCTCCGGCAGCAACCGCCAGCCTCCAGCGACACCTGCGAGCACGTGAGAGCGACCGGGGTGACCGCGCGCCACCTGGCCACGTCCTCAGGAGGAAAGCCGGACCACTTTTGGGCGCCCAAGGTCACAAATGTTCACAGACGATGAAGGGGGATGAAGCCTCGGAAACTTTCAATCACCGTGAATTGGCGAGCGAGGCGTTAGGGCAGTGATGCGGTTGGCACCCTTCTTCAGGGCTTCGATTTCATGGTGCGTGTGTGTGTGTGTGTCATCACTACAGCTTCAAGCGATCCAAGCCACGGCTGCGATGTGATGGTGGAGTTGGTGGATCATGATGATTTTTTGTGTGACTGTCGACTCAACCACTTATAATTTCGTTAGATTTGAGAACTCAGCTTAATCGCGTGCAGCTGAAACCTGGACTCCAACCGAGAATGTCAGAGATTGCCGGCTCGGTTCTCTAACCGCTGAGTAACCCAACTACCCACAACGATTTTTAATTCCACCGAACAGCTGTATTTTTGTGAAATATGTTCGCCCACGTGGGAATCGGCAGGGCTCAGAATCGGTGCAGGAGACGCCAGGAGCTGATCCGATGGTCGAAGCCCTCCTCACTTTAGAACCACACACAACCGACCAGCGTCTGGTCGGAGGCAACTCCGTCATAAAATATGAAAAATTAGGTTTGTACCCTTTCTGGCAATATAACATGTGTTAAGATGTTCAAACAGCAAATAGATACCTTTGCAAGGAATTAAATCTGCAAACAAACATGCTCTGGTAATGATAAATGCATTGTCTTTGAAATTGATTGGCCTACGCCAGAGACAGCCTTCTGTATGGCCTAGAGTTACCAGAGTCAGACACAAGTGCTGTGTGTGGTTAATGCAGTACTTGCTTCCTTGCAAAAGGTACCTATTTGGTGTTTGAATATCTTGTTTTATTGCCAGAAAGGGTAAAACCCATTCTTATTTTTCATACTTTGATACTGGCCAAAAGGTTATCCCATGATATCTGTCATAAAATGTTGGGTGTGGAAAAACACAACGGGATGAGAGGAGACCACGGAGCGCGACGCCAGACGAAGCCGCACCGGATTCGCTGGAACCTCACCGTGAGCAGCGTGCCGCCGGCCAACCCGGCCAGGAGGAGCCCGGGCCCGGCCACGGCCACGCAGACGGGGCGCCCCGCGGGGCCCGCCGGCCCCGGCACCCACGCGTCGAGACGCCGCTTCAGCAAGCCGGCGCCCGGCTCCACGAGGCTCACGCGCACGCCGCCGCCGGGGCAGCAGCCGCCATCGTCGGCGTCGCCGCCGTCCGCCGCCGCCGCCGCTGTCACCACCGCCACAGTGCCCTCGCCATCCCCGCCGAGCGCGTGGCAGCGCGACCGACCGCCCAGCGGCTCCGAGAGGAGCGGCGCTCCGCTCCACAGGGAGAACGAGTGGAGCTGCACGAGGGGGGGAGGCACGGGGGGGGAGAGCACGGGGTGGGAGAGCACGGGGGGGGGGGTGGGAGAGCACGGGGTGGGGGGTGGGAGAGCACGGGGGGGGGGGTGGGAGAGCACGGGGGGGGGGGGGGAGAGCACGTGGCAGTGTCCTTCAGGGCGACTGTCAGCGTCGTTGTGCACGGTATCCGCGCTGGGCAGCGCTCGATGCTGTTCTACTCTGCTGATGAGATACCGAATGTCAAAACCGCGGGGAGACTGGAGGAGTAGCGTCTGCTTAGTTTCTTACAGTTCTCGTTACTCGTACGGGAACGATAATCATAAAAATATTTTAATTTCATCTCGCGTCATTTATGCCAACAGCATCCCACAATGCTGTACATTAATTACTGCATATATACGGACCAAATCCCATATACGCGGTTAGCTACGCACGTCGCTAAAGAAGCCCTGCACACACACAGGCATGCACCAAGCAAAATCACGAATGAATAAACGAAGTAAGAAATGGCACCAAAAAACAACAACGAAAATTGTGGCCAAAAAGTGACGACGAGCCGATAGACCCGCGCGGAAACCACCCCACCCCCCACGCTCACCGTGGAGTTAGTGAAGAGGTGGAACTCCTCCCGCTCCTCGCTCACGACGATGAGGCTGTACGACACCTCGTCCTCCTCCTCCTCCTTGCCTAAGGCGGCGGTGGCGGAGCTGGTGGGGCCCGTGGAGCCGCTGGAGCCGCTGGGAACGTTGGGGCCGGCGGGCGCCGTGGACACGAGCGTCACCTCCTTCCCCGTGACGAGGCTCCACACGCGCGCCGTTGAGTCGCGCCCGAACGACACCAGCAGGTCGGCCCGGCGGCCCAGCACCAAGGACAGCACTTCGCCTGCGGTACAAAGACAAAGGTCCCCCGTGCAGCCTCGAACAGACTGTTGGGGCGAGTGCTGCTAGCGAGTAGCACCTATAAAAGTCGTGAGGCTGGGGTCGAACGAGTGGAGGCCCAAGCCCACGTTCAGATAATCGCCACTGGAGGTGTTGGCCATGAACGGATTTTCGAATCGGGTCACCCGGTTTGTAGGGCAGTGCGCCAACCACTGCGCCACCGCTCCCCAATCAGCCGCCAGACAAAGACAAATATCTCCCGTGTAGCCTGTCACGGACTGTTGGGACAAGTGCTGTTAGCAAGCATCTGTAAAGGTCGGTACAAAACAAGAGGAGGAGGTTGGTGGCCAACACCACGCCGGGCCGCCTTTGTCTCCCCAGCAGTGATGTTTACCCACTAGGTACTCATTTGAGGCTGAGTCTAAGCTAAGCATTTTGTTTATTTGACCAGGTAAGGCCCACTGAGCTATGTAGCTCTTTCTCAGAAGCAACCTGGCTATCACGGATGATAGCGCAACGAAGCGTCTCATCGTGCGGAAATCTATAGCAACTAAATACTCGAAACACCTGAAGTTGATTCTAAATGTGGAGGGGAAAAACCAGAGGTCCCGGAGAAAAAAATCCTGGGAGCACAATGCAAAGTCCAAAATATCGAAACGTCAGGGTGGGGATCGAACCCACAACCTCCCCTGTACAGGGGAGGCTCGGAACGGTTCAGCTACCACTCACCACCAACGCTGTCCAAGCGCGGGGATTGAACTCGGGTCGCCGGATTCGTAACGCGGTGCTGCAACCGCCACCTGCCTCACGCACAATCCCTCGCCCGGTGGGGCCACGCACTCAGCCCCGCTCACCCGCGTGCCCGGTGAGCGTGTGGGTGGCCTCGTCCTCCTGCAGGTCCCACACGATGATGGTGCCATCCAGAGAGCCCGCGGCCATCACCCTCCCGCTGGCGCTCAGAGCCAGCACCGAGACGCCTGCGCCCGGGGGGGGGGGGCATGGGTGGGTGGGGGGCACCCACGACACAGGTCCAAGCGTCGCTGAGCTCACACCCCGTGATTCCACACTATAGGAAAAGCGACACGCACCACCCCCACCACCGCGACCCCCACCCAGAGCAGCATCCTAAACTAAACTATTTTTTATTTTATTTTACCAGGTAAGGCCCCACTATGCTATGTAAACTCTTCTTCGGAAGCGACCTGGCTATCACAAATGATAGCTCGATGAAGTGGCTATTCATCACGTGGACATTTATAGCGGTCAAATACTCTTAAATGCGATAATGTTGATTCTAAATGTGGGGTGGAAAAAAACCGCAGGACCCGAATAAAAATCCACGCGACCACTGGGAGAGAGAGAGAGACGCAAACTCGAAATATACAGCAGCAGGCGTCAGGGTTGCGATCTAACCCATGACCCCCTGTATACCAGGCGAGGTAGTTAACATCTCGCCACCGTGGCACCCTCCTTACCACCAGCCTCCTCCTCTACCGCCGTCACTTTACTGCCACGTGACACACCTGAGCATCGTCCCTTTGTCTGCCCGGTCATCATCCCATCACCTTGTCCCATCATCATCATCATCATCCCCTCCACCGGTTTTGCCATCGTCCCCATCACCTATATTACACAATCAGAATCTGTTATTTGGACTGGATGAATCCGATGAGCTATGAAGCTCTTTTTTTCCTCCCACAGATGTCCAGTTTGCACAGACGACCATTGCAATCGTCCCGATCGCCCTCGATTATCATCGTCCCGATCGCCCGCTACAAAGCTGTTAAACGACAGCCGGCATAAACCGGGAGCCGGTCACGGGGCCCGAGAGCCAGGAACCGCTGACGGACGCACTGACCGGCTCGCGCGGACGTAGACAAACCGCACGGCGGCCCAGGTCACCGCGTGGGTTTCGCCCTCGTGTCTCAGCTGCGAGGTAAAGGCGGAGCCCTGCAACCGCTCGCTCGCGCCACCGCTGGTGGACAGTGCCTCCACTTAGAGGGAGTTCTAGGGGGGTTATTTGGTCTACTCTTCCACGCTGATCGGATAACTTAGAAGAGGCAGCTGTACCCACACTTTACCCCATAGTGGTGACCCCATTTACACCACTGGGTGGACAGAGGCTGTGGGGGGCGTGGGGGGGGGGGGGTGGAGGATTTGAGAAACTTGCTCCGCTGTGTCACTGCCACGCTGGGAGATGGTATCTAAAAGCTCGTGCGCTCCGGCTCGCAGGTGCAGTGTGTGAACCCGTCACGGCTGCTCTCTTCGTTTAACGGTCAGAAGGGCGAAAGTTTCACAATCACCGCTCCTCACAGTTCTGCCTGCGTGACAAACCGCCCTCGACCGGCTTTTCACCGGGTTTTTTCTCGCGCGATTACCGGTGACGCAAACGACGCTCGCGGATGACGCCGGAACGACGCTCGTGGAAGATGTTGGGACGACGCTCGCGGGCGATGTTGGGACGACGCTCGCGGGCCATGTTGGGACGATGCTCGCGCCAGCATCGTCCCAACATCGTCCGCGTGCTTTGTCCCAGCGTCATCGTCCCATCGTCGTCCGCGTGCCCCCCCCCACGGGGCCGCCCCCGCCCGCCTCTCGCCGCCCCTCACCCTGGCCAAAGCCCGTGAGTGTGGTGCGGAGGGGTCCTCCCGGGGGCTGGAGGCAGCCCCAGAGTGGCAGCAGGATCGGCTCCGGCCGCGTCTGGCACAGCTGGCGGCACTGCGCGCACAGCCGCCCCACCATGGTCGGGTACCGCCGTTCGAAGTACTCGAGGCGAGCCAGCAGCTCGACGAAGAAGACCGACTCGTCTGTGTGGAGGGGGGGGGAAGGACGAACAGGAGGGCAGGTGCCGAGGGGCAGCGGTCGCGTGGATGCGCTGGTCAGGGTGAGGGTCGGGGTAAGGGCAGTGCTGTGTGTCAGAGTTAGGGTCGGGGCGAGGGTCGGGGTTGGGGTCGGGGTTAGGGTCAGGGCGATGCGTCAGGGTTAGGGTCAGGGTCAGGGTCGTGACCGTGTGTTCCCCACCGACGCCGTTCTCCATAAACTCGAGCGTGGGCCGGATGAGCAGCATGGCGTCGTGCACCAGCTGCGTCTCGGCGCACGGCTGCAGCTCCAGCGCAAGGGCAAAGTCCTCCAGCAGCGCCTTCACGCCCAACGCGCTCAGCTTCAGCGACAGCCACTCCACGCTGCCTAGAGCCACGGGAGGGAGGCGGGAGGGAGGCGGGCGTCAGCCCTCTCACCCGCGGCTTCTGGGGTGGTGGGGGGGGGAGAGGCGAGGGTAGCGGTGCCGATGGCGGCGATGGTGCTGGTGTTGCGTGGCCCCTACCGAATATCTCCTCCCGCAGCTGCTGGTGGCGCCCCGCGTGCGCCAGGTGGAACGGCAGCTCGCTCAGCTTGCGCAGGTTCACCTTGTCCTCGCCAAATCGTAGCGGCTGGGCGGCGACCTGTGCAGATGGGGGGTGGGGGGGGGGGGCACGGGGAGGGTGGGGGGGGGGCGAGTACTCGGGGCAGCGCCGTTGGCTGGTGGTGCTGGCGTTGGTGATGGTGGTGGGGAGACCGCTGGCTCGAGCTATGAAGAGTGGAAGCGATTACCAAGGTAGCACAACAAGGGCCATGATGACCTTTTGACCTCAGCCCTTGACCTATAATTCTCTGGTAAAATAAAACATAGTTAATAGTTGTATTGTTATAACCGTTTGCCTACCACCTTTGATGCCAGCACTGTTCACTCTTCTCCCGCTACTACTATTGATGCCTGCTCCCGTGTTGAGGACTTGGTCTACCAGTCTGACTATTTAATGTCATCCGTACCGTGATCAACCACCACCCACTCACCCACCCAGCCACCCCCTCACCCACCCACCTACCTACACACCGACTCACCACACCGCAGGTCACAAATCTTCTGTTTCTGCTCCTTCCCTCGCACCGCTCCCATTTCCTCCTCTCACCACCGTCTCCATTCCCAGGCTGTTGTAAAAATCCCCTTGCTCGATTTAAGCCACGAGTTTTAACTCGAATCGTTTACAATTTTGGTCGTGCCGTTTGTTGCTGACCCCTGGGCGCTTTGGGCATTCACGCCTAGTGTGCTCAGCTCCTCTATTACAAACAAAACATACACACGCTTGCAGATACATGTACAAAGACATAGATCCCTCGTATAGCCTTAACAGACTGTTGGGGCAAGCTGCTGTTAGCGAACACCTACTGTATGAAGGCCGGCACGGCACATGAGGGGGTGGGTGGCCAGCCAGCACTACATCCGGCCACCTTTGTCTCTCCAGTGGCGATGTTCACGCCCTACACCAGGTACTCGTTTGAGGCTGAGTCGACCAAGGGGAGGCCCAAGACCGGTTCGGATAATCGTCACCGGTGTTGGCCGTGAGCGGGAATCGAACCCGGGTCGCCAGGCTCATAGCGCAGCGTAGCGCTAACCGCTCCCACACACACACATACACACACACGCACACACACACACACACGCACATACAGAAACGCGCACACACATACGCACATGCGCGACCTCGGAGAGGCTCGTGTGCGCCACCGACGATGGCCGTGGGCCGCAAAAAGTAACCCGGCTCGTCGGGTCCTCAGCCCCGGCGCGCTAACCGCTGCGCCACCGCTCCCCATGTACACACGCGATCCCGAGGGCCGCACCTTGCGGTCCGCGTGCAGCACCTCACCGCGCTGGCTCAGGTGGATCGTCTTGCGCCGGCCCCCAGCCCAGCTGCCGCCAAAGTAGTCGGCGAGCGTCTGGTGCAGCAGGCGGCGCTCCTCGCCCTGCAGGTAGCGTTCCTGCACCGCCTCCACAAACTGCCTGCGACGGACAGGGTAACCTGCCACTCTCACGTGGCACTCTCACCCTCACTCTCACCTGTCACGTGTCACCTGTCACTCTCACCTGTCACCCTCGCCTGTCACTGTCACCTGTCACTGTCACCTGTCACTGTCACCTGTCACTATCACCTGTCACTGTCACCTGTCACTGTCACCTGTCACTCTCACCAGTCACTATCACCTGTCACTATCACCTGTCACTGTCACCTGTCACTCTCACCAGTCACTGTCACCTGTCACTGTCACCTGTCACTGTCACCTGTCACTCTCACCTGTCACTGTCACCTGTCACTCTCATCTGTCACTGTCACCTGTCACTGTCACCTGTCACTGTCACCTGTCACTCTCACCTGTCACTATCACCTGTCACTGTCACCTGTCACTGTCACCTGTCACTCTCACCAGTCACTATCACCTGTCACTATCACCTGTCACTGTCACCTGTCACTCTCACCAGTCACTGTCACCTGTCACTGTCACCTGTCACTGTCACCTGTCACTCTCATCTGTCACTGTCACCTGTCACTGTCACCTGTCACTGTCACCTGTCACTCTCACCTGTCAATATCACCTGTCACTGTCACGTGTCACTCTCACCAGTCACTATCACCTGTCACTATCACCTGTCACTGTCACCTGTCACTCTCACCTGTCACTGTCACCTGTCACTCTCACCTGTCACTCTCACCTGTCACTGTCACCTGTCACTATCACCTGTCACTCTCACCTGTCACTCTCACCTGTCACTGTCACTTGTCACTCTCATCTGTCACTGTTACCTGTCACTCTCTCCTGTCACTGTCACCTGTCACGTGTCACCTGACACTATCATCTGTCACTATCACCTGTCACTGTCACCTGTCACTCTCCCCTGTCACTCTCACCTGTCACTCTCACCTGTCACTCTGACCAGTCACTGTCACCTGTCACTCTCACCTGTCACTGTCACCTGTCACTCTCACCTGTCACTGTCACCTGTCACTCTCACCTGTCACTCTCACCTGTCACTGTCACCTGTCACTCTCACCAGTCACTGTCACCTGTCACTGTCACCTGCCACTATCACCTGTCACTCTCACCTGTCACTGTCACCTGACACTCTCACCTGTCACTCTCACCAGTCACTGTCACCAGTCACTGTCACCAGTCACTGTCACCTGACACTCTCACCTGTCACTGTCACCTGTCACTCTCACCTGTCACTGTCACCTGTCACTCTCACCTGTCACTCTCACCTGTCACTGTCACCTGTCACTCTCACCAGTCACTGTCACCTGTCACTGTCACCTGTCACTATCACCTGTCACTCTCACCTGTCACTGTCACCTGTCACTCTCACCTGTCACGTGTCACTGTCACTCTCACCTGACACTATCACCTGTAACTCTCACCTGTCACTGTCACCTGTCACTCTCACCAGTCACTGTCACCAGTCACTGTCACCAGTCACTGTCACCTGTCACTGTCACCTGTCACTCTCACCTGTCACTCTCACCTGTCACTGTCACCTGTCACTGTCACCTGTCACTATCACCTGTCACCAGTCACTGTCACCTGTCACTCTCACCTGTCACTCTCACCTGTCACTGTCACCTGACACTCTCACCTGACACTGTCACCTGTCACTGTCACCTGTCACTCTCACCAGTCACTATCACCTGTCACTGTCACCTGTCACTGTCACCTGCCACTTTCACCTGTCACTGTCACCTGACACTCTCACCAGTCACTGTCACCTGTCACTCTCACCTGTCACTGTCACTGTCTCCAGTCACTGTCACCTGTCACTGTCACCTGTCACTCTCACCTGTCACTCTCACCTGTCACTGTCACCTGTCACTATCACCTGTCACTGTCACCTGTCACTCTCACCAGTCACTGTCACCAGTCACTGTCACCTGTCACTCTCACCTGTCACTGTCACCTGACACTCTCACCTGTCACTCTCACTAGTCACTGTCACCTGTCACTCTCACCTATCAGGGTTGCCAGTCAGGGTCACCTGTCAGAATCGCCTGTCAGGGTCGCCTGTCACTCTCGCCTATCACAACTCACCTGTCAGGGTCACCTGTGACTTTCCTGTCACACCTGCCAGGTGAGTCTGGCTGCTGAGTCCGCACCCCGAGACAACCTCCCCTCTCTCCCCCTCACCCACAAGTCCACACCTCCTTCCCTCTGGCTTCATCGCCACGGAAAGCTCAAAAGGTTTCGGTTGGAGGTCGGCAGAAGACAAACCAAAACCAACGATTGGGTGTAAATGTTGTTTAGTCACAAGTTCCAGGTTAACCGGGTCTCGTGCCACGTGGTTTGAAATTACCAAATGCTTTGAGGTGTGTAATTTATGCACCGATTAGAAGTTACGAATATAATTAATTTACACGCCTCATTTGCATTTCATTCGTGAACTGCTCATCTCTGGCCACGTGCGCCGGTGAAAGCATTGGAAACAGCTGCCGGGTTAAACTACAACTATTTCACCCTTTTTATTTTACCAGGTAAGGCCTCAATTGAGCTATGTATCTTTTTTTCAGAAGCGACCTGACCACAAAGAATAGCGCAACAAAGTCGCCGATCATTGTCACTTGGAAATGTATAGCAGCTAAATACTCTAAACGCGTGACGTTGATTCGGAATGTGAAGGGAAAAACCGGAGGACTCGGGGGGAAAAATCCACCCGACCACGGGGCGAGAGGGAGAGATGCAAACTCCAAATATACAACAGGCATCAGGGTCGGGATCGAACCCACGACCTCCTGCATACCAGCGAGGCAGGGAAAGGGTTAACCCTGCAACTTGCAGGGTGTGGGTGTCCTCGTTCACCGCCGAATCTTGGAAAGTTAATTTTATTTAGAGAGGCGTAGCAGCAGCGCCGCTGTTTTTGAAGATGTCGGTAATCACCGCGGAGAACCGTAGCGACGTGACTGCCACACTCTACGATAGCTGGCGCCAAACTGTTGTTTAGTTTTTCTCCCGGTTTAGTTTTGATGACGTACACCTACGTCGGTTTCGGGTAGAAAAACCCGATGATGGTACAGGAAAGGGTGAAAGATCTACCTCCTCCGGGGTTGCCCACGGCAGAGCGGCCATCCCGTGCCAGCGCCGTGCTGGGCGAGATGGGGGTGGTGAGGCGGGGCGCACCTGTGGTAGAGCGCGATGACGGTGTGCCCGTCCGCCTGCCGGTCCACCAGGTAGTCGGCCAGGTCGTGGCGCAGGCGCGTCCACAGCAGGGGCGGCAGGCGCACCATGTCGCGGTTGGGCGGAGACCAGTACTGGTAGACGTCGGCCAGCACCGCGTCGTCCAGCGAGAGGCAGTCCTTGAGCTCCACTTCCGAGAGGCCGCTCCTGGCGAGGGTCGCCCACCACGCAACTCCGATTAGGGGCCGTCCATGAATGACGTCACGCGATTTTGGACGATTTTTGACCCCCCCCCCCCTTCGTCACACGGCGTCACAAAAAGTCAGACCCCCCCTCAAATATGACGTCACAAAGGTTTGCCCCCCCCCCCCCAAAATAAAACATGCTTCAAATCGCTTTAAACTATCGTCAATGTAGTGCGTATTTAATGTAGAGGAGAAAACATTTATTACAAAGTCTATTTAATTAAGTAGAACGTGTTGTCTATATTTATTTAAAGTTGCGCATTTTGATGTGACGTCACATTTCTCAAACCCCTTCCCCCCTTCGTCACACATCGTCACAAATGTCTGCCCCTTAGTGCGGATGGCTAAGTTCGAGGTGCGCGTGCCTGCGCGTGCGCGTACGTACATACGCGCGTGCGTGTGTACATACATACGTAATACACGTGTGCGTGTGTACATACATGCGTACATACACGTGTGCGTGTGTACATACATACGTACATACACGTGTGCGTGTGTACATCCATACGTACATACACGTGTGCGTGTGTACATACATACGTACATACACGTGTGCGTGTGTACATACATACGAGCGCATGTCACACAGCGGCCGCGAGGATGTTGGCGACGAAGTTTACGACGGTGGTGACGACAAAAGTGATGATGACGATGGTGATATGATGGCCATTGATAGACATTATGACGGTAATAGGGCTAGTGATGGTGGTGGTGATGATGGTGATGATGATGAAACCGGCGGTGGTGATGATGTTGATAGTGATGACGACAAAGGTGATGATGACGACGCTAATGATGGTGGTTGTGATGATGATGACGGAGCCAATGATGGTAATACTAACGATGATGACGGCAGCACTGATGACAATAATCACCAAGAAGGTGAAGTCGATGTTAAGCATGATGATGACGATGATGAGGGCTACGAAGATGACGAGGATGAAGTTGATTTTGATGAACGAGACAAGGACATCAACAAACATGATGATGACAATCATCATCATTAGCGTAGCGAGAACACAAGGGCAATGCTGGCGACAATAGTAGCAATCTCCGTGATCGGCGATGGTGATGATGACGACCATGATGACGACGATAATGACGACAATGACGATGATGATGATTATGACGATGGTAAAAGTACAATGGGGATGGTAACGACGGTGACAGCCACATTAATGGGACAGTGACGATGACAGCCATGGTGATGATGATGATGGTTGATGATGATGGTTGATGATGATGATTGATGGATGATGATGGTTGATAATGATGATGGTTGATGATGATGATGGTTGATGATGATGATGATGGTTGATGATGATGGTTGATGATGATGATGGTTGATGATGATGGTTGATGATGATGGATGATGATGATGGTTGATGATGATGATGATGGTTGATGATGATGGTTGATGATGATGGTTGATGATGATGGTTGATGATGATGGCTGATGATAATGGTTGATGATGATGCTGATCATGATGGTTGATAATGATGATGGTTGATGATGATGGCTGATGATGATGGTTGATGATGATGATGATGATGGTTGATGATGATGGTTGATGATGATGATGGTTGATGATGATGGTTGATGATAATGGTTGATGATGATGATGGTTGATGATGATGGTTGATGATTATGGCTGATGATGATGGCTGATGATGATGATGATGGTTGATGATGATGCTTGATCGAAGAGGAGGCTGTTTTCAGATGTTGCATCGAAGAGCAGCGCAACAATATTCCGCGCAGCTCCCTGCTGACAACACCTCCGACGCGCACGGTCGGCTCGAGGCACACTAAAGGAGGGCGACAGCACCTGGATGCCACCACGAATCCCAGCGCGTGTGCCACGAGTGCGCGCCCGTGCTGCGCCTCGAGGCGCGCGTACAGCGCGTGCACGGCCTCCCTCGTGTCGCTCGCCACGCGCCCGCGCAGCTCCACGCCGAGCGGCGCGAACGAGCGCCAGCGGCGCGCCTCGTCGAACGCCAGGCGCACGAAGAGCGGCTGGCCGCAGCGGGCGAAGGCCGCCAGCAGCAGGGCGCGCTGCTCGCCCGCCAGCGTGCGGCCCGCCGCCCGCAGGAGCCCCTCCATCATCTCCCCGCCATTCTCCGGCATCAGAGGCTCGACCTGCGGAGGTGGGGGAGGGGGGGATGTAGGGGAGGGGGGGGCGCGTGGGTCGAATGACGTCATCGGAGTCTCCGACCGCCACTTTAGAAGCCGGTGGTGCGCCCGTGATGTTACGGCAAATGCACCGTTGTAGTGATAATAATAACCGGGGCGGTGTCCCGCCGGACTGGAACTCCACACGCTGGGCCGCCCGCTCTCTTCCCCCACTCCGCCCTTTCTCTCCTCACTCACCGCTAACTCTCATCCACTCCTCACCCTCTTACCACTGTCGGCCCTCACATCCTCGGTCATTCCATCCATGCACTCTCCCCCAACTCTCAACTCCTCCCTCTCCTCCCTCCATCTCCTCCAGTCCCTCTCCTCCCTCTGTCGCCTTCTTCCCATCCCTCTCCTCCACTCCCGCTCCCTCCTCTCGTCCCACTCTCCCTTTCCTCCCTCCTCTCCTCCCTCCCTCTTCTCCTCCCTCTCTCACCTCCACTCCCTCTCCTCCCTCTCCAACCTCCACTCCCTCTCCTCCCTCCTCCCTCTATCGCCTTCTTCCCCTCCCTCTCCTCCACTCCCTCCTCTCGTCCCACCCTCCCTCCTCTCCCTCCTTCCTCTCCTCCCTGCCTCTCCTCTATCGCCTTCTTCCCCTCCCTCTCCTCCACTCCCTCTCCCTCCTCGCTCGCCCCCCACCACCGTCACCTCGAGGTACGCGTCCGCGTCGTGCACGGCGGCGCGCAGCGCGTCCAGGATGCCGTGCTCGCTGGGCAGCGTGGAGACGACCACGAGCACGCTCGCCGCGTAGCGCTTGGGCAGCCAGTGCAGGCGGTGGGCACCGTCCGTGCCCGACAGCTGATCCAGCGAGTCCAGCACCAGCAGCAGCGGCGGCGCCTGCGGCTGCTCGCCCACGCTCGCCAGAAGCCGGTGGAAGAACCTGGGGCGGGGAGAGGCGGCGGCGTGGTTTTACGCTTCTCCGCGTGGCGGGGACTGGCACCGGCCGCGCCGGTTGATGCGTTCGTGGTGACATTGGTGGGTGGGTCTGCGGCCGGCTTCAGTAGCGGCCGAGTGAATGTCCACAGAGCGGCAGTTAGCAACCTTTTCAGGTGTGTGCGGGTCCCTTGTCAACCTCAAAGTAGTTTGGGGACCACCACACGAGTTGTTTGTACATTTCCTTAGCGAGGATGTTATCATCCTCATATTCCGCAGACCCCCCCCCACCCTCCCCCCCACTTGTAGTAGCCCCGCGGAGTTAGCGGAGCACAGTTTTGGGAACCGCTGCTAGAGAGCAGTGTCCTTCACTCATTTTCAGAGGGGGGCCACTTTCGCCAATAAGACATCATCAGTGTGAGTGAGGGCACACATTTGACATCATTGGGGGTTTGACAGCAGCACGATGATGATGGCGGAGGGGGGTGTTGTCACTATTTTTGTATTGTCGGGGGCCGCGCGCCAGGGGCCGCACTAAAGGCCACCAGGGGTATTGTCAGTGGCCCACGCGCCTTGCAATGAAGAGCACTGCCATAGACCAACAGAGACAGACTCGCCTAGACTCATACAGAGACCCGCAGACTCAAACAGAGACCCGTAGACTCACACAGAAACCTGTAGACTCACACAGAGACCCTGTAGACTTACACAGAAACCCGTAGACTCACACAGAGACCCCGTAGACTTGAACAGAGACTCATAGACTCACACAGAGACCCGTAGACTCACATAGAGACCCGTAGACTCACACAAAGCCCCGTAGACTCACACAGTGACTCCGTAGACTTACACAGAGACCCATAGACTCGCACAGAGACCCGCAGATTCACACAAAGACCCGTAGACTCACACAGAGACCCGTAGACTCACACAGAGACCCCGTAGACTTGCACAGAGACCCATAGACTCACACAGAGACACATAGACTCACACAGAGACCCATAGACTCACACAGAGACCCCGTAGACTTGCACAGAGACCCGTAGACTCACACAGAGACCCCGTAGACTTGCACAGAGACCCATAGACTCACACAGAGATCCCGTAGACTCACACAGAGACCCTGTAAACTCACACAGAGACCCGCAGACTCACACAGAGACCCGCAGACTGACACAGAGACCCGTAGACTCGCGAAGGAGACTTGAACAGACTCGCAGAGAGACCCGCACGGAGACCCGCACACACTCCCCCCACAGAACTCCGAGGGAGCCCCCAGACGCAGGCGACGGGTGCGGCCGTCGCTGGCGGGCGCTCACCGCACGGTGTCCGCGTAGACGTTGAGCACGTGGGCGGGCGGGCGCTCGCGCTCGTAGGCGAGGCACAGCTGCAGGCAGAGGCCCCGCAGCACCGCGTGGATGTCCGAGCTCAGCGGCGACGTCCCCAGCAGGCGCGCCGCCACCACCGCCTCCTCGCCCAGCTGCTCCGGCGCCTGGCGCACCAACTCGGCCAGCACCGACGTCTTGCCGGTGCCCGACGGTCCGAACACCACCACCGGGGGGTGTCCTAACGGGGGGCGGTGGGGGGGGGACGTCATCAACGCGACCGTCCGGCGGGTTGAAGGTGCTAGGCGATCGCGTGATGCCGCCGCTGGAGGTGCACTGGACATCTGTGATCATCAAGAGCTTCGAAGTTCATCGGATTCCTCCGGTCTAAATCAAGATTCTGGAGAGGGGGGGGGGTCGTTTTAAAAGAGTCACCGACTTTTCTTTTGTCTTCTGATTCTGAGCAAACTAAAACCAAAACTTTTTTTGTTATTTCACCCGGTAAGGGCCCACTGAGCTACAAGCTCTTTTTCAGAAGCGGCCGAGCAATCACAAATGATAGCTCAGCGAAGTGGCTTATCACGTGCAAATGTATAGCAGCTTAAAACCAGTGACGTGCGGTGAGGTCAATGGCTGGGGAGGCACTGGCTAGTGTCAGAGCCAGATTCACACACCGAGGGGGGCGTGGCCTCACGGAGGGGGGCGGGTCCTCACTGAGGGGGGCGTGTTATACATGTCCCCCTCAGTGAGGCAGATGTGATAGCTGCCTCCCCTGGTGCTTTTTCATTGCAGTTTCATGAAGAGGCGAGCGAGCCTAAATATCTTTATACACACACGTGAAATAAGTTACCTGTAGTATGGAAGGCGAGGACATGAAATGAAGGGGTCTACAAACATTACATTGGTGACATACTGAGATAGTAACAGGCACGCGCTTATTGCCCACGCTCCATCCAGTTACTGAGGGGTTGCGCAATCAGAGGGGAGGCTGAACTCGTCGCTGCCTCACCTCTCGTCTCTTCCTGTATTTGTAGCGGAGCTCCGCAAATTTGGCGATTTTGACTAGAAAAATGATTGGAATCGTACAGAAATTACATTTATAACACAGATCAGTGGAACAATCTTAATATTTATTTCATTTGATTATTTTACTTTTCGTAACAGCTATTTTCATTGGAGTATGACAGGTGAAGCTCTGCCTCCTCTGCCTTCCCTGACCGCACGTCCCTGCCTAATACTCTAAACTGCATGCTGTTCCTAAATGTGGAGGGAAAAACTGGAGGATCCGGACAACAATCCGTGCGACCACGTGAAGGAGAGACACGCAGGGGTCGGGATCGGACCCACGACCCCATGCATACCAGGCGACGGTAGTCAACTTTTCCCAGCCACTGCGGCGAGGCGGCCAACCCGCCCCCCCCCCCCCCCCACTTCTCTCTCCCCCCCCTGCAGCCGACCTCTCCAGTGCTGCTGCGTTGGTCCACTTCACTCCAGTGACCCGGGTGCTGCTGCGGGGTCAACTTTCTGCCACGCCTCCTTCCCCCCCCCCTCTCTCTCCCCCCCTACTGCCGAGGCCTACTATATAACCTCGTGCCACGGCAGATCTCTCGCCTACTTCAACAGGTTTTTCCTTGCTGTGGTTGTCCCACCTGATGACGATTGCTTGTGTGGCGATCGAAACGTCGTGATATATTATTTTTATTTTGTTTGATTTTTCTACCTACGTGACTTTACCGAAAGAACCAAAGAGTCCATACTCTTTGGTTCTATTCGGTAAAGTCACGTAAGTAAAACAACAAAACAACAAAAATCACGACGTTTCGGCCACAACACAAGCGGCCTTCATCAGGTGAAGGGACCAGACTGTCTGGAGGACAGCGCTGGAGTATGGATTCCTGCAGTCACGAAAGCTTCAAATCAAGATTTAACCGCCCCTCGTGCGGTATACCCGGCAGATTCGGCGACGCCGCGCCTTCGCGGGGGGGGGGGGGGGGGGGGGGGGGGGTGGCCGATGGACGCCTCCGATACCTCCGGCTCCGCGCCGCCGCTCGTGCAGGCGTGACCACAGCGTGGCCATCAGCGCCGCGCGGCCGCACAGGCCCCGGGACTTGCGCTCGCACTGCGCCGCGTGGTGGCCCAGCTCCTGCAGCAGGCGGTCGTCCGGCGCCTGCGCCCGCCGCGCCGCCTCCACGCACCGCGTGATCTGCCGCTTCAGCTCCTGGAGCGGGGCGGGGGGGGGGGGTTCTGGTGATTGCGAGGGGTGGGGGGGTGTTGGGGGTGGGGCAGGGGGCACCCTACCGCAGGTGCCCCCACGATGTGACCAGCGGCGTCACCCCCTCCGTTGTCAGGTAGAGGGTTCGCCGCCCGTTGCAACCGTTTGCGGTTTGAATCCAACGGGACGCCCCCGGTTCACACAGCTGGTGCGTGTTTTATTTGTTGTGACACGTGAGCCTCTCTGAGCTTTAAGACTCCTTTTCAGGAGGGTTCCTGCCAATTTTCCGCAAAAGGGGGCTGCTGTTGCCGTTGCTGCTGCTGCTGCTGCGGTGTGTGTGCGATCCCAATTGAGTGATTTTCAGGTAATTGTTCAGCACTAAAATTGTTTGGTCAACACTGGTGACACTGCGTGTGTGTGTCTGTGTGCTCGCTCACAGCACTTGCCCCAACAGTCTGTTTAGGCTATGTAAGGGGATCTTTGTTTATGGGAGCGGTGGCGCAGCGGTTAGCGCCCTGCGCAACGAACGAACCCGGCGACCCGAGTTCGATTCCTGCTCACGGCCAACACCGGTGACGATTATTTGAACCGGTAATGGGACTCCCCTAGGTCTACACAACCTCAAATGAGTACCCGGTGCGGTGTGTAAACATCGCCAAAGGCGGCCGGGCGTGGTGCTGGCCACCCACCCCTTCGTGTGCAGTGCCGGCCTTCATAGGTGCTCGTTAACAGCACTTGCCCCAACAGTCTGTTAAGGCTACACGGGGGATCTTTGTTTTTTTTTTATCGAAGGAAGGAGATGGGAAAACCGCGGAGGAATCCCACGCGGTACGACGCCCAAGACGGGAATCAAACCCTGGTGCTTATTGCTGTGCGGCACGAGTGTCGGGGGGGGGGGGGGTGGCAGCATTATGTGACGCATAGGGGGGCTCAGTCGAACACAAGGAGGCCCCCGAATCAACTAATAAAGCAGTTTAAAAATGTAAAGAAAAATTGTTCAACTTTTAATTTTATTAATTCAAAATAACCTGCGGTCTACCATGGCCAAAGCCCAATTAACGGATCTGGCTATCGCATCAATCGAGCAGCGGCATGAAGTGGCATGATCCACACCACCTTTGAGGAATCCCTCGACCGATGGGGCCAGTATGAAAGCAAGACGCACGAAAACTTAATTGTAAGTCTTTGTTACCTTAAAATATATTTTATTATTAATGACGGTCACTGCGAGACTGTATTCCTCTAAATCCAATAAAAGGTGCAACTAAAATAACACATATATAGTTATAGCCCTACACATTATTGTTACACGGGGTTAAAAATAATCCGTAGCTATTTCAGTATAAGTGAGTCGGGAGAAAGAAGTGGGGAGCCACAGTCCACCCCCGAAGAAATAGATAGTTGCGCCTCTGATGGGTGTTGCCATCCTGCCACCCCGAACAACCCACAATGCACTCGACATCTGCTTCGCTCACGGCGGGAGGTCGATCCCGGGGGCGTCGCTTGTAGATGAGAAGGTCGTTGTGTTTATTTTACTTCATTCGGTGCAATTGTGAACAATCGCCGTATCAGACATGAGTACATGTGATCGGCATAATCATTGGCTCACTGCAGCTCAAAGACTCAGTCCCTACAAGGCATGCGGTGAAGTTAGGAAATGTCCCAATGTGTGAGCTCGCCATTTAAAGGCCTGAAGACCAGAATCGGTGATGTCACCGGCAATGTGTTCATCAGGGGAGGCAGAGTTACGTGTCCGGACATCAGAGTGAAGAAGGGAGCTTCTGTCCAGGGAGCTTCTGTCCAGGGAGCAATGTCATGGCAATTGGTGGGGGCACGGGTGTGGCTTGGCAGGGTTGTGCATAATTTGGTGGCACGGCATCATCGTCCAAAATTTGGCCGAGTTTTGCAAACTACTTTGCATTTAACCTCTCTGGGTTCAAATAGAATATCACCAACCCCCCCAGACTATGCAAATTTGGCAGGAACCGTCCTTAAAAAAAAATCAAGAGCCTCGAGGCTTTCCCAGGCATGCAACAGGCGAACGAGGCACGAGAACAATAATAATAATAATATCGGCCGTCCGTGACACGTAGCGCCGTCGTGGTATAGCCGTCGCTCTGCCCCACGGACGGAGCGAACGGCACACGGAGCGAGGTGAGCTGCGCTCCCGCACGCCCGGATCTCGTCGTCGACGCCTTTGAAAGGAGCAACCTTCCCCGGCGGCGGCCGTCCCTGCGTGGCACGAGGCGCCGTAGCCATAACTCACCGCGGTGAACGTGCGGCAGACGCTGTCCAGGTAGCGACGGTGCGACTCGACGGCCGAGTCCACCATGCCCTCGCTCCACTCCACCTGGTACACCACGAGGCGGGCGCGGGGGGCGGCCTCGGATCCCGCCGGAGGACCCCGGATGCCGCCGCCGCCGCCGCCGCCGTGCGCTCGCAGTCGGCGCTTGAGCGAGCGCAGCAGCGCCTGCGCCTCCGCGTCGACGCGGAAGGCCCCGTCGGGGCCACGCTCCGCGTCCACGAAGACTCGGGCGCGCTCGCTCGCGGGCACGCACGCGGCCACCCCGCGGGCCTCGCGCACGAACACGGAGCAACACTCGGCCGCACGGTGGGGGCGGGTGGGGGGGGTTGGGGGCGCCCCCCCCACCCCGTGCCGGCGAGGGGGGGCTCAGCACGCCCATCTCTATCTCCGCCTCGGTGACTGCGGCGCGTGCGGGGGGGGGGTCGGAGGTGGGAGGGGTGCGCAGGTGAGTGACGCAGGGGAGATACGGGTGACGAATGAGAGAGATTGGCAAGGGCTCAGAGGTGAGACATTGGTGAGTGATACAGATGAGACGCGGGAGATAGACAAGACACGTATGTGCGAGAGACACCGATAAGGGTCACGGGTGAGACAGATGAGAGAGACATGCAAAACGCACACAGGTGACACGGACACGCAAGTGAGAGAAACTCAGGTTAACCCGTGCTACGGAGGGAGTGCTTTTTCACGTGTCTCATCGGGCTTAATCCATCTGGTTAAATAAAGTATACGACGTGGTGAGGACACAGCAGAGACGCAGGTGAGACTCACCTGTGTGAGATAGGTCACACGAACACTTGGGTGAGACAGGTGAGAGAGACACGGGAAGCACACACCGGTAAGAGGCACGGCCGAGACGCACTCAGGTGAGACCTCACCTGAGCAGAGGTACGCGTGGTATCTCTGTGCGGAGAGGAGACCCTTGCGCATGGCTGCGCCCGCGCTGCGTCTCAGGATGTCCGAGAGGCGGGACTCCGTGTCTCTCCAGAGCGCCGCGTCCCGCGCCTGTAACTCGGCCCGCGAGGGGTCCTGTAGGGGCGCAGAGATGAAGGCGTCGTCACTGCCAAAGCCGCTGATGCCACTGACGCCGCCGCCACCTAAGACAAAGATCCCCCGTGAAGCCTTAACAGACTGTTGGGTAAAGTGCCATCAGCGAGCGCCTATGAAGGCCGACACGGCACACAAGTGGGTGGATGGCCAGCACCACGCTCGACCGCCTTTGTCTCCCCAGTGGCGATGTTTAATTACACACCGGATCAGGCATTCATTTGAGGCTGCATCGACCTAGGGGAAGTCCAGGACCGGTTTCAATAATCGTCACTGGCCTTGGCAGCGAGCGGGAATCGAACTCGGGTTCGCTGGGTTCGCAGCGCACTAACTGCTACCGCCACCACCGCCACCACTGCCTACCACCTGCTACCACACGTCGCCAACTGCTCGCTCCTCTTCCGCCAAATCCCGAAGCTACTGCCTAGTCGACGCCCTAGGACCTCATCATCAGGTATTCTTGCTGTGTGGTTTTTCACTACCTGATGGTGACTGCTTGTGTGCGGTCGAAGCGTCGTGAGAATTTTATTGTTTTATATTTATGTTTTTGTTGTTTCGTTGTTTTCCCTTCAACGTGACTTTACCGAAGGAACCGACAATATGAATCACTGCAGTCACGAAAGCTTTAAATCGTGGTGTCACTTTCGATCGGGGAAAGCAGCTGCTGAAATCTGAGTGCAGCTTCTGACTGAGAGTCCTGCGGCTCACTCAAGGGACAATAGCGACATCATCAGACTGCTTTGTGAGGACCGGTGTGGCATGCTGCACCGGCGTGCCGCCAATACGTCCAAACGCTGTGACTGCCGCTAGTTCCGGTGTCCTGGTCGATTCGTCCGATCCATGCGTTGTTGGTGGGGGGTTCAACCCCCACGAGGGGAGATAGAGGGGCACCTTCCTGTGCCCACTCTGATCAGACGTCAGGGGGGGGGGGGGGAGGCGCAGCACCAGTCAATAGCCCTGAGACAACGATTAACGGGCAAGGAGAGGAAACTGTACAGGGTAAGGGTAGGACAGTTGGAAGAAGAGAGAAGGAGGGGATTTGGTGAGTGGAGATGGGGGGGGGGGAAGCATGAAGTAGGGGGTGCAGAAAGGGGATAAGAGAGAGAGAGGGGAGTCTGCTGGAGCGTGGGCGACCTGCTGTGTGACCTCTTAGCGTTACCTGGGGATCATCAAGAAAGTGACCTTTGATAAGCACTGAAGTCCCTTGACCCGCGTGCGTGCTCGCCAATCCGCCTTGGACGTCAATTACGCGGCTTTGTTATTTAAATACGTCATCGTGTTTTTTTTTATTAGGATTAGAATGTTCAGCCGATATTCTCTGCACCACTCCTCGTTAGTTTAACACACCTTAATATGCAGGAGACCGCAGAGCTCCATAAATCGTTGGTGCCGACTTACCTGTGATCACTGTTACATTGCATTTATGGCTTTCATTTTGGTGATTTCGAAAAGTTTTTTGGTTTGCCATGTTTTTGTTGATTGTAGTACGGAGTTAGACTGATGGCCTTAATCTTAGTTGTCTTGTGGTTGTTCTTGTTTGTTTGACTTGCATCCCACTGGGATTTTTGCACACAGCGTTGGTGTACGGTGCTTTTTTCAGGAATATTTTGATGTTTTTTTCCTGGATTTTCTGTTTGCACAGTCACACAAAGTAGTCACTTTAAGATGTATTCATGTTCATTTTTTTGTTTTTTTGTTTGTTGCGGTTTGCACCCGATTCAAGAGCCGAATGGCTCACAGGGCTATACCAATAAATGGAACTAATGAACTAACTAACTAATGTCTCTCACCGTCAGCTCTGAGGTCTTCTCTTCCGCCTGGGTAGAGACCGCTTCCGATGTCTGCCACAGGCAATTCTCCCCGCTCCATCCCCTCCACCATCCCGCGCTATTCACACCCAGCGCTAACCGCTCTTAACCACAGCAACGGTCACGCGCCTGCCGTGCTCGCTACCGGGCTTCTGCCATTGCTTCTCCGAAACTTGCCACGAAGTTCCCAGCATCTGTCTCAGACTCCTGGGCTCAAGAGCCAAAAATTCGTCTCCACGAGTCTTCGTGATGGTGCAGCCCTCTCTCTGATCCACGCAGTGACGCACAAGCGCTCTCCTGCCGTCAATAGCCTTCATCTACCCATACCTGCCAACCCCTTATCAGTGCCCTACGTTATTACAGACCAATTCAGACCTTGTTGGTCACCCCGTACCCTTATAAATCTCAACATTCATCCCACAAAGTCCCATCACAAGGGAGAAACACAAACAAATAGACAATGTTTTTGCCCGTATTAAAACGGATGTACGCCGTACGGACCTGAAAACTCACATCCCCTGTACAATAATACGGGTAAACCGCATGGGTTGACACGGTATGTCTACCCCCCCTCTATAGGCGATGGTGTGGGGGGGGTCCTCATGGAGCGAGTAGAGAGAGGGGGCTGAGTGGAGTAGGGGAAGGAAGGGAGTACAGCGGTGGCTACCACAGCTGCTGCTGCTGCTGCCTGTGATCGTCCAGTTCTGTGCTGGGAGCAGCAGCGAGGGTTAGTGGATCACCACACACCGATGGTTTTAGTGAAACTCGCTTCCCGTAGGCGACGAGAAGGCGGTTACGTCAAGGGGACGAATAGTCATCTGTTTCCATCTGTACGGGGATGGAGCGTTGCCAACTCGCCCAAGGCGCGGGTTTTGTGCGGTTGCTCCGCTTTCCTCCCACCTGGTATAATAATACAGGGACTCCTCTACTTACGACCATTCGACTTACGAACTTTCAGAGACACGAACAAACCTGGTCCGTATGTCCAGTTGCCTGTTCGGACCGAGAGGGTGTAAGTTCAACCACCGCGCAATAGATGGCGGTGCTAGCTCGGGTTCAGCATTCTCAGAATTTCTGCCTGGTCAGCTGCCATTGTCTCTTGTTGTGTTGTTGGTTTATGACGACGTTCTCTCTGCTTTTTACGAACTTCGTCAACATCTGTCCTGTCTCAGACACGTAAGAGTGGTGAAAGTGTTGAGGGTGGTAGGAAGAAGTGGCGCACATGGAAACTAAAGTGGACGTGATAAAGCGTTGTGAACCAGTGGCATCTACAGGAGAATCTACAACTTTTAAAGCCATTCCCCGTGTTTAGTGTACACGCCGTACAACATGTTGGGAATCTACAGGAGTAAAGTTAACGACTAATGAACAAATCGACTTAACGAACAGACCTATGGATACTCTTTGGTTCTTTCGGTAAAGTCACGTAGGTGTAAAATAAAATAAATCACGACGTTTCGGGCGCAACACAAGCGTCCATCATCAGGTGGGAAAGCAATAATTATTTTCTACCTACATGACTTTACCGAAAGAACCCAAGAGTATGGATTCCTGCAGTCACAAAAGCTTCAAATCAAGACCTATGGATCCTAACTCGTTCGTAAGCAGAGGAGTCGCTGTCCACAGTACTCATTATGAATTGGCTGAAACATCGTCAAATAAAAACGCAATGCAGAAGCAGCAGCAGCAAGGCCCTCCTAAAAAAACGACTCCTATTATAAACGAGTAAATGTCTAACTACAATCTTGATTTGAAGCTTTCGTGACTGCAGGAATTCATACTCTTTGGTTCTTTCGGTAAAGTCACGTCGGTAGATAAATAGATCACGTGACGTTTCGATCGCAACACAAAGCAATCGTCATCAGGTGGGACAACCACAGCAAGAAACAACTGCTGAAGTAGGCGTCAGTTTTTCAGCAGTTTTTTTCTTGCTGTGGTTGTCCCACCTGGTGACGGATTGCTTTGAGTTGCGATCAAAACGTCACGTGATCTGTTATTTTTCTAACTATGATGTTTGTTTGTTTGTTTTAAACGTGCAGATCAGAGAGAGAGAGAGAAAGAGCGTCGGCTGGCCTGGTCGTCGAAGTGCGGCAGCAAGGCGGTGATTGGCTGCAGCAGGAAGAGAGGCGGCTCCGCGTTGGCGTCTCGCCAGAACCACGCCTCGAGCTGCTCCGTCTCCTCGCGGGACGCGCAGCCGCGCAGCGCCTCCATCTCCGCCTCGGGGATGGTGCGCGGGAGCGGTCGGTAGCCGTAGCGGTTCCCTAGCAGGGCCTGCGAGCGAGCCGGGAGGAGATGGGGGGGGGGATGGAGGGGATGGGGGGGGATGGGGGGGAGCGGGAGAGAGGCGGGGAGTGGGAGAGGAGAGCGGGGAGTGCTGGGAGAGGTCGGGGGGGGGGGCGTGCAGAGGAGAGAGAGCGGGGGTGGAGTGGAGGGGAAAAGGGGGAGCGGGAGGGGAGAGAAGAGAGGGAATGGACAGGGAGAGAAGAGAGGGAGGCGAGAATGAGATTTGGAGATGGGAGAGAGAGGATATAGTGGTGGTAGGGGGGGGGTAGTGGGATTGGGGGGTGAGAAGAACATTGGGCGATGGAGACGGCATGGAGAGAGGGGAGGGCGGAGTAGTTTGGGTGTCCCCCCCCTCCCCCCGTGCTGCAGGGTGTTCTCTGGGTTCTCGGCTTCCTCCATCGCACACGAAGCCAACCCCTCCCAAATGCACGCGGACTAACGTCTCAACAATTTAGCGGAACACTCTCCTGAACATGAGTCTCGAGGGCCGAGCGAAGCGTTCTCGAGTAAGCCCAAGGCCCGCTCGCGCGAGGGGGTGCAGCAACGCAGCGATTGGCACACGGCGCTGTGAACCCAGCCACTCGAGTTCAATTCCCGGCCACGGCTCACATTAGCAACAAGTGGACGTCTGCGAAAAAAGGAGGTTCATAGCTCATCGGATTACTTACTCCAGTATAAATACAAATTCAGAAAACAATCTGAAATTATTCTGATTCTGAACCGGTCCCGGGTTCCCTCCTTCATCGACCGGCACTGACCGGCGTGGTGAAGTGTGGTCCGACAACCCCCGTGATCTAAGCAGCGTGGGGAGGCCTTCATACCGGCATGCATTGACCAAGGGCTGTAAGTCGTTGTTGTTGTTGTTGAATCGTCACCGCTGCCAACCAACTCTGTTCACCCGTAATATAGTTTTTGTTGGGTTAGATCGCATTAATTTAAATGTGTCGTTAAACCCGCCACCACCCGGCACAGCTAATTGGTAAGGGTTGTCACGGAAACAGAACGTGCCAATTCCTTACCAGTACAGCACACAGCGGTGTATTGGAGAGCAAAACGCACAACATTTACGACGTTTCGCCAATAATTAACAACTAAGTACCATCAGAGCGGACAGCCCAAGTTGTGGAGAAATCCTCCTGCTTCGGCAATGCTCGCGAAGACATCAGCTTCGTCCGCTCGATTCGGAGTTTCTCCAATCTTCTGCTTACGGCTAATATCGGCCGCGAAAGCCAAACGCGTGAATCTGTTCCTCCGACTCACTCACCACGAAGGTGGGGCCCACAGACGTCTTCTGGCAGCTCTCGATCTCCCGCAGACAAAGCTCCGTGGTCATGTGGTCCACCGCCACCGTGTCACGCACCCCCCAGCGCATGTCGACCACCTGCGCCACCACCACCACCACCGCAGGTGCAGGGGTGAGCAGACGGGTGAGTGGGTGAATGGGTGAGTAAGAGGGTGAGTGGGTAGATGGGACGCAGGCGAGAGGATTTGATTGGTAGGCGGGTGGGTGAGTGTACAGGTGAATCAGTGGGCGAGCGAGCGAGCGAGCAAGCGAGTGAGCGAGCGGGTGAGTGAGCAGGTGAGTAAACAAGTGAGTTGGCGGGTGAGTTGGTGTCTTGGTTGGTTAGTGGGAAGCGGGGATGTAGCGGTCAGCGCGCTGCTCTACAAACCCGGCGCCCAGAGTTCGATTCCTGCTCAAGGCCAACACCGGTGACGATGATCTGAACCTGGTCCTGGGCCTCCCCTAGGTCGACTCAGCCTCAGATGAGTACCTGGTGCGATGCATAAACATCGCCTACGAGGAAAACAAAGGCGGTCGGGCGTGGTGCTGGCCACTCGTGTGCCGTGCCTTCCCCAAAAGTCTGCTGAGGCTATACGTACGGCACATCTTTGTACGTATTTATGTTGATCTTCTTTCGCACCGTACGTAGCCAACCGTGCTAATCGTCGGCGCTGCGATGTGGTTAGTGGGTGAGTATATAGGTGAGTGGGTTGGTGAGAGAGGTGTGCTCACCTCGAAGGTGAGGCCACGCTCTTGGCAGAAGGCCTGCAGCTCGGGGTAGGCCTTGTCCAGGAGCGTGTCTCTCTCCGTCTGCATGTCTACGGGGGTCACCGTGGCCACGCCACCAGGGTCACAGAGTCCCCACCGCCAAGGTCACAGTGGCTATGCCGCCAAGGTCACAGTGACCCCACCACCAGGGTCACAGTGACCCCTACTGCCAGGGTCATTGTGACCCCACCACCAGGGTCACAGTGACCCCCACCACCAGGGGGGGTCACAGTGACCCCACCACCAGGGGGATCACAGTGACCCCACCACCAGGGTCACAGTGACCTCCACCACCAGGGGGTCACAGTGACCCCACCACCAGGGTCACAGAGACCCCACTGTCAGGGTAACAGTGACCCCCACCACCAGGGTCACAGTGACACCACAACCAGGGTTACAGTGACCCCCACCACAAGGGTCACAGAGATCCCACCAACAGGGTTACAGTGACCCCCCATCACCAGGGGGGTCACAGTGACCCCACCGCCAGGGTCACAGTGACCACCACCGGGGTCACAGTGACCCCACCACCAGGGGGGTCAAATTGACCCCACCACCAGGGTCACAGAGACCCCGGAACTCGAGCTCACAAATTCACAGCTACTGCCAGCGACGGCATCACCCGCACATTCTCCATCCGCTGCTGGATGTAAGTTACGCCCGTGAGCGCTCCGTGTGCCGTGACCCCTGAGTCATGCTTCGGTTGTTTGGGTGGCTGCAGCTACGATCTGCCCACTGCCACCCCTCGACTCATTTGAGATAGATTAAGTTCCTAGCCTTACATTATCGTCTTATCGAGTGGCCGATTTACTGATTGATTGGAATGACGGGCTCCTTAAATCACCAATTGTCGAACCGATGGAACCGGTTGTACGATCGATCGAGTTGTCGAATTCACTGATACACTGCATGCTTTAACTGACCCCCTGACTGATAAACTGGTTGACGAATTAATTTCCCTCCTAACTAACCTATTCACTGCCGGGTAAAATGGTCCTCCGGACTGACTGAAGGACCGGCTGACTGGCTGACTGAGCTCCTGACTGATGGACTGGTTGACTGGCTGACTGAGCTCCTGACTGATGGACTGGTTGACTGGCTGACTGAGCTCCTGACTGAACGGACCTGGTTGACTGGCTGACTGAGCTCCTGACTGATGGACTGGTTGACTGGCTGACATGAGCTCCTGACTGATGAACTGGTTGACTGGCTGAATGAGCTCCTGACTGATGGACTGGTTGACTGACTGACTGAGCTCCTGACTGACTGGACTGGTTGACTGGCTGCCTGAGCTCCTTGACTGACTGGACTGGTTGACTGGCTGACATGAGCTCCTGACTGATGCACTGGTTGACTGGCTGACCTGAGCTCCTGACTGATGGACTGGTTGACTGGCTGACTGACCTCCTGACTGAATGGACTGGTTGACTGGCTGACTGAGCTCCTGACTGATGGACTGGTTGACTGGCTGACTGAGCTCCTTGACTGACTGTACCGGTTGACTGGCTGACTGAGCTCCTGACTGATGGCACCGGTTGACTGGCTGACTGAGCTCCTGACTAACATGACCGGTTGACTGGCTGACATGAGCTCCTGACTAATGGACTGTTTGACTGGCTGACTGAGCTCCCTGACTGATGAACTGAGTTGACTGGCTGACTGAGCTCCTGACTAACGGACCGATTGACTGGCTGACTGAGCTCCTGACTGATGGACTGGTTGACTGACTGACTGAGCTCCTGAATAACGGACCGGTTGACTGGCTGACTGAGCTCCTGACTGATGGACCTGGTTGACTGGCTGACTGAGCTCCTGACTGATGGACTAGTTAACTGGCTTACTGAGCTCCTGACTGATGGACTGGTTGACTGGCTGACTGAGCTCCTGACTGATGGACTGGTGACTGGCTGACTGAGCTCCTGACTGATGGACTGGTTGACTGGCTGACTGAGCTCCTGACTGACGGACTGGTTGACTGGCTGGCTGAGGCCTTGACTGACACCGACCGGTTCACTGGCTGACTGAGCTCCTGACTAATGCACTGGTTGACTGGCTGACTAAGCTCCTGACTAACGGACCGGTTGACTGGCTGACTGAGCTCCTGACTAATGCACTAGTTGACTGGCTGACAGAGCTCCTGACTGATGGACTGGTTGACTGGCTGACTGAGCTCCTGACTGATGGACTGGTTGACTGGCTGACTGACCTCCTGACTGAAGGACTGGTTGACTGGCTGACTGAGCTCCTGACTGATGGACCGGTTTGACTGGCTGACTGAGCTCCTGACTAACCGACCGGTTGACTTGCTGACAGAGCTCCTGACTAACGGACCAGTTGACTGGCTTGACTGAGCTCCCGACTGATGGACTGGTTGACTGACTGACTGAGCTCCTGACTAACGGACCGGTGACTGGCTGACTGAGCTCCTGGACTGATGGACTGGTTGACTGGCTGACTGGCTCCTGACTAACGGGACCGGTTGACTGGCTGACTGAGCTCCTAACTAACGGACCGGTTGACTGGCTGACTGAGCTCCTGACTGATGGACTGATTGACTGGCTTGACTGAGCTCCTAACTAATGGACCGGTTGACTGGCTGACTGAGCTCCTGACTGATGGACTGGTTAACTGGCTTACTGAGCTCCTGACTGATGGACTGGTTGACTGGCTGACTGAGCTCCTGACTGATGGACTGGATGACTTGCTGACCGAGCTCCTGACGGATGGACTGGTTAACTGGCTTACTGAGCTCCTGACTGATGGACTGGTTGACTGGCTGACTGAGCTCCTGACTGATGGACTGGTTGACTGGCTGACTGAGCTCCTGACTGATGGACTGGTTGACTGGCTGACTGAGCTCCTGACTGACGGACTGGTTGACTGGCTGGCTGAGCCCTTGACTGACCGACCGGTTCACTGGCTGACTGAGCTCCTGACTAATGCACTGGTTGACTGGCTGACTGCGCTCCTGACTGATCGACCGGTTCACTGGCTGACTGAGCTCCTGACTAATGCACGGTTGACTGGCTGGCTGAGCCCTTGACTGACCGACCGGTTCACTGGCTGACTGAGCTCCTGACTAATGCACTGGTTGACTGGCTGACCGAGCTCCTGACTGATGGACTGGTTAACTGGCTGACTGAGCTCCTGACTGATGGACTGGTTGACTGGCTGACTGAGCTCCTGACTAACGGACTGGTTGACTAGCCGACTAAGCTCCTGACTAACGGACCGGTTGACTGGCTGACTGAGCTCCTGACTGATGGACTGGTTGACTGGCTGACTGAGCTCCTGACTAATGGACCGGTTGACTGGCTGACAGAGCTCCTGACTGATGGACTGGTTGACTGGCTGACTGAGCTCCTGACTAACGGACCGGTTGACTGGCTGACTGAGCTCCTGACTGATGGACTGGTTGACTGGCTGACTGAGCTCCTGACTGATGGACTGGTTGACTGGCTGACCGAGCTCTTGACGGATGGACTGGTTGACTGGCTGACTGAGCTCCTGACTGATGGACTGGTTGACTGGCTGACTGAGCTCCTGACTAACGGACCGTTTGACTGGCTGACTGAGCTCCTGACTGATGGACTGGTTGACTGACTGACTGAGCTCCTGACTAACGGACCGGTTGACTGGCTGACTGAGCTCCTGACTAACGGACCGGTTGACTGGCTGACTGAGCTCCTGACTAACAGACAGGTTGACTGACTGACAGAGCTCCTGACTAACGGACCGTTTGACTGGCTGACTGAGCTCCTGACTGATGGACTGGCTGACTGAGCTCCTGACTGATGGACCGGTTGACTGGCTGACTGAGCTCCTGAATAATGGACCGGTTGACTGGCTGACTGAGCTCCTGACTGATGGACTGATTGACTGGCTGACTGAGCTCCTGACTAATGGAACGGTTGACTGGCTGCCTGAGCTCCTGACTGATGGACTGGTTAACTGGCTGACTGAGCTCCTGACTGATGGACTGGTTGACTGGCTGACTGAGCTCCTAACTGATGGACTGGTTGACTGGCTGACTGAGCTCCTGACTGACGGACTGGTTGACTGGCTGGCTGAGCCCTTGACTGACCGACCGGTTCACTGGCTGACTGAGCTCCTGACTAACGGACCGGTGGACTGGCTGACAGAGCTCCTGACTGATGGACTGGTTGACTGGCTGACTGAGCTCCTGACTAACAGACCGGTTGACTGGCTGACTGAGCTCCTGACTAACGGACCGGTTGACTGGCTTGACTGAGCTCCTGACTGACGGACTGGTTGACTGGCTAGCTGAGGCCCTTGACTGACCGACCGGCTCACTGGCTGACTGAGCTCCTTACTAACGGACTGTTGACTGGCTGACTGAGCTCCTGACTAACGGACCGGTTGACTGGCTGACTGAGCTCCTGACTGACAGACTGGTTGACTGGCTAGCTGAGCCCTCGACTGACCGACCGGCTCACTGGCTGACTGAGCTCCTGACTAACGGACTGGTTGACTGGCTGACTGAGCTCCTGACTAACGGACCGGTTGACTGGCTGACAGAGCTCCTGACTGATGGACTGGTTGACTGGCTGACTGAGCTCCTGACTAACGGACTGGTTGAACTGGCTGACAGAGTTCCTGACTGATGGTCTGGTTGACTGGCTGACTGAGCTCCGGACTAACGGACCGGTTTACTGGCTGACTGAGCTCCTGACTGATGGACTGGTTGACTGTCTGACTGAGCTCCTGACTGATGGACTGGTTGACTGGCTGACTGAGCTCCTGACTGATGTACTGATTGACTGGCTGACCGAGCTCCTGACTGATGGACTGGTTGACTGGCTGACTGAGCTCCTGACTGATGGACTGGTTGACTGGCTGACTGAGCTCCTGACTGATGGACTGGTTGACTGGCTGACTGAGCTCCTGACTTATGGACTGGTTGACTGGCTGACTGAGCTCCTGACTAATGGACCGGTTGACTGGCTGGCAGAGCTCCTGACTAATGGACCGGTTGAATGGCTGACTGAGCTCCCGACTGATGAACTGGTTGACTGGCTGACTGCGCTCCTGACTAACGAACCGGTTGACTGGCTGGACTGAGCTCCTGACTGATGGACTGGTTGACTGGCTGACTGAGCTCCTGACTAATGCACTGGTTGACTGGCTGACTGCGCTCCTGACTGATCGACCGGTTCACTGACTGACTGAGCTCCTGACTAACGGACCGGTTGACTGGCTGACTGAGCTCCTCACTGACTGACTGGCTGACTGGCTGACTGCTTCTGACTGACTAAAGGACCGGCTGACTGGCTAACTGAGCTCTTGACTGACTAACGGACCAGTTGACTGCCTGACTGAGATCTAGAGTGACTGACGGACCGGCTGACTGGCTGACAGAGCCCCTGACTGACTGACGGACCGGTTGACTGGCTGACTGAGCCCTTGACTGACTGACCGTTTGACTGGCTGAGTGAGCTCTTGGACTGACTGACTGACTGATGGACCAAAAGAACGATGTCTGCAGACCCCGCATTTAAACCGAATACCACCCTCGGTGTGAGAGCGAGATCCGCCCTCCCGGCAAGACGAACGGACGGAGCCTGAGCCCGGATGAAGCCGAACGTCCCTCCACACTGACCCGAGAAAGTGGAGCTGAGGAAGACGCGCACGAGGTTGGAAGCCTCCGGCAGCTGCACCCCGAGGCGGCCACGCACGAGGGCTCTCTTGCGGCCCCATTTCTGCCAGGCCTTCTTCATGGCCTCCCGAGCCCCGTGATGTCGGTGTGGCTGTGGTGTCCTCCTGCCGCGCCTCCGATTAGCGCGGTTGGCTGCGTACGGTGCGAAAGAAGTTGAACATGCGGTGCATACACTCATAAGTTACCACTCGTCCTCACACATCGCCGCTCCTCGCTCACCACCACTCACCGCTCTTAAAAACTCAACGCTTCTTACTGCATAAGACTCTTCACCCTCACCCCTCACTACTCAACCCTCATCACTCTGTGCTTCTCACCACTCACCAACTCCTCACCACTATCCTTCATCCACGACTCACCACCACGACTCTATCCATGGCCCTCTAACCCCTCACTCTATCGACCTGAACCAAACTCCAACCCTAACCCCTCTAGCTCCAAACCTTAATCCGGTGGTTCTCAACCTTGTTACTACTCTGCCCACCTTGTTTATTGGTGTTTCAACCGAGTGTAGCCTCTACACCCCCCCTCACCACGCCACGCCTCGCCTGACCCAACATGGTTCTGAGAAAATGAATGTACGAATAATGAACGTCGACATACTTTTTTTTACCAAATTGTCAATTTTGTGAGGTACATCCCAACTAGCTAAGTTACTGCAAGCGAATAATTAAAAAAATACAACAATCAACGGACGCTCTGCACGCGTGATGTAACTTGTTCGCTCTCGCTGATTACTCTAGAACACCGCTTTGTTTACGATCAATGGGTTTAGAAAGGTATTCTTAGATCGTTCTCGTGTTACCATACGGATTAAAATGTGATCGCAGGTAGTTTATATTGGCAGATTCACACGCGATCATTCACCGGTGACTCTCACGCACCATATGACTGCACACATTTATAAAATCACCTCACGAACGCGCACCCCCTGGGGGACATTGTCACGAACCCCTCCCCCCCCCCCCAGGGGGTCCACGTAACCCCCCCCCCTCCCCCGCTCCCCTAGTGCCCACGCACCTCGGGGCAGCAGCCGGCAGTGGCTCCGTTCCCGCGCAGTCCGGGCGGGCCCGAGGAGAGGGGGGCGGGGGGGATCGAGGGAGGTGGGGAGGGGGGGTAGGGAGGGGGGTCTCCCGTGTTCCCCTACGGCACGCACCGCCCCTCCCTCTCCTACCCCAGCCTACAGGTAGACCCAGGTGTGTAGGCGCACGCGTGTCCACCGTTACCTGCACGCACGTCCACCTGTGCGCTCTGTCCAAGTGATAACTAAGCCAACACCACATTTAGTCATTTTGCTTACCAGGAAAGCCCCACTGAGCTGCTACGTGGCTCTTTTTTCAGAAGCGACCTTGCGATCACAAACGATAGCTCGACCAAGTGGCTCATCTTGCCGAAATGTGCAGCAGACAAATCCTCGAAACGACGCGTGACGTTGATTCTTAACGTGGAGGGGATAACCGGAGAACCTGGAGAAAAATCCACGTGACCACGGGGAGAGGCAGAGGTACACCGCAAACTCCAAATATACAGCAGGCGTCAGGGCATCGGGATAGAACCCACGACCTCCTGCATACCAGGTGAGGTGGTTAACATCTCGCCACTGCGAGATTCACAATAACAATAACAACAATGCCATTTGCCCCCCCCCCCACCCCTCCCAGGAGAGCTTCGCTGAGTCACGAGGGTTCTGCCGCACTGGGACATTTGGCCACGAGGCCGAGCAATCCGAGTCCGGCTTCGCCTTGAAGGGAAGACAACTCAGCCGGACAACTAAACCTCCGCACAGATAGCTACAAGAATCCAACCGCTGTGCGCTATCGTCAGCTGCTGCGTGCCCCCCCCCGCACCCCCGCTCGCCCTCGCAGGTACGCACCTGTGTCCGTGCGTGCCCACGTTCACCTGCTCAGGTGAGCTCGCACGCGGACAGGTGAACGGTAGCCACCGCGTGTGTGAACCGATGCGTTGCTCCTGCTAAACGCTTCGGTTACCCAGTTACCTCCTCGCCGCCCCCCCCATCCGCGCCCCCCCCCTCTCTTCCCATCAGCCCGGGCTCTTTGTTGCCTCTCGCTCGAACACGAACTGAGCTCCACACACGCACACACACAGAGTTTGTTTGCGGAGGGTGCGAGGGTGCGACGGGCGCAGTGAATAGAAGGGGCGAGTTTCCACAACAGAAACACGACTCGCGACGAGTGCGCGACCGCCTCGCGTGGCTCACCTGTGCTCACCTGTGCTCACCTGTGCTCACCTGCGGGGCGAGGGGCCAGCCAGCTAATGGAGCCGGTGTCACGCGCCCCATGTCCCGTGGAAGGAAAGTTGCGCACAGCTGCCCCGGAGTGTCACCTGCGAACTGACCACGTGGCGCTCCTGGTGTGAGCACAGCGCCCCATACACAAACATCACACACACCACACACCACATACACACACCATACACACACCACACACACCATACACATACACACACCATACACATACACACACCATACACACACACCATACACACACCATACACACACCATACACACACCACACACACCACACACACCACACACATACACACCATACACATACACACACCATATACACACACCATACACACACCACACACACCATACACATACACACCATACACATACACACACCATATACACACCACACACACCATATACACACACCATACACACACACACCATACACACACCATACACACACCACACACACCATACACATACACACACACACACCATACACACACACCATACACACACACCATACGCACACCATACACACACCATACACACACACATCCACCATACACACACCACACACACCATACAGACCATACACACCATACACACACCATACACACACCACACACACCATACACATACACACACCATACACACACCATACACACACCACACACACACACACCACAAACACACACCATACACACACACCATACACACACACACCATACACACACACACCACACACACACACCACACACACACCATACACACACCATACACACCACACCACACACACACCATACACACACCATACACACACACACCATACACACACACCATACACACACACACCACACACACACCATACACACACACCATACACACACACACCATACACACACCATACACATACACCACACACACACACACCATACACACACACACACACACACACCATACACACACCATACACACACCATACACACACCATACACAAACATCACACACACCACACACACCATACACACCATACACATACACACACACCATACACACCATGCACACCACACACACACCATACACACCACACACACCATACACACAAACACACACCATACACACCATACACACACCATACACACCATACACACACCACACACACACCATACACACACCACACACACCATACACACACACCATACACAAACATCACACACCATACACACACACCACACACACACCATACACACACACCACACACACCATACACACACCATACACACCCACACCATACACACACCACACACACACCGTACACACACACCGTACACACACACACACACCACACACACCATACACACACACACCACACACACACACCATACACACACACCATACACACATCATACACCATACACACACCATACACACCCACACCATACACACACTTACACACCATACACACACCCCATACACCAACAACCGCCATTCGCCACTAAGTGGCGGTGACGTCACCACGACGCTTGTGCCAGGCTATGTGCACCCTGAGGCCACGTGAAGTGTCGAACGCCCGCTGGCAGGAGGTCACGGGGCAGACCCAGGTGCCACGGGTCGACTGACTGAGATGACTGGCTGATGCACCACCTGTGCCCCCTACTGTGCCAACCTGCTGTGCTTTAGCCACCCGGTGCTCCGCTCGTTGTTGTGAACGTCGCTCCTCCGCCCTCTGTTGTTGTTGGAGGGCGACTGCCTCCAACTGCCCAGTAGCGTCCCTCACGAGCCTCCTCCACAGAGGCCGATCTTGACACCGCTGGTACCATCGGCAAGTCCACTCAGCTCCACGTCCTCCTGTACCACATCACTGCATCTCTTCTCTAGCCCGTGCCGCGCCCGTATAGCCCCCTCGATCCGGCCGAACAAAAGCTGTTTCGGCATGCGGTGGCTGGGCATGCGGGCGACATGATCCAGCAAACGCAGCCTTGCCTGCCGGAGGAACTCACCGATGGGACCTTGCCGAGATCTTTCAAGGATTTGTGAGCTCCTCACGCAATCCAGCCTGGTTAAACCCAGGATTGATCGTAGGCAGGCTAGCCTAAATGTTCCTAACCGGCGAAGATGTTCCATTAGGGGGGTCCACGTTTCGCAAGCGTAGAGAAGGGAGGGAATGACCGTGGCCGAGACGACTTGAAGCTTAGTGCGGAGCGACAGACCAGGTAGCTTCCACACAGCGTTACGCAACTGATGAAAAGATATTGCCGCTCGACTGATTCGGAGTGAGACCTCTGCTGTTAAACAGGAGCCGGTCATAAGCACACCATACACACACACACCATACACATACACCACACACACCATACACACACAATACACACACCATACACACACCACACACACACCATACACACACCATACACACAACATACACACACACCACACACACCATACACACCATACACCGATACCACGCACACCATACCATATACACACCATACACATACACCACACACACACCATACACATACACCACACACCATATACACCATACACACCATATACATACACCATACACATACACCACACACATACACCACACACATACACCACACACATACACCACACACATACACCACACACATACACCACACACATACACCACACACATACACCACACACATACACCACACACATACACCACACACCACACACATACACCATATACACACTTACACACCATACACACACTTACACACCATACACACACACCACACACACCACACACACACCATACACACACCATACACATATACCACACACACCATACATACACCATACACCACACACACACACCATACATGCACACACCAAACACACAGATAACCCCCCATACACACACCATACACACAGTACACAAACACACCATACACGTGCATTCACACACCCCACACATTCAGAAATGCAAAGATCCACCTCCGTGGTTGGTCGTGTGCGTTCATTCATTCACTAAGTTGCCGTGCAAGCTGGGCAGGCATTGGGAAATGCCGAGCCCACGCCGTAACTGGAGAGCAAACACACTAAGACACTTAAGTACGTCTAACCCTAACATTACAACCAACAATAAAACACGAAGAATCACAATTAAGAGACAAACAAACATGTACAGTATATTATAAAAAAAATAATTATGAACATTTTTTACTTTTGTTTCTACTTAAAATCTAATTCATGTTCTTCAAACTAACGGGGATTCTGCTCCGGTGCACGACCTCGGCGATTTGATACACCGAGAGAGAGAGGCACCAAACTTGCAGGCCGCGAGAGCAAATACATGTTTGTGTGTGACTGGGCTGGCTCGCTGACTGGGCTGGCTCGCTGACTGGGCTGGCTCGCTGACTGGGCTGGCTCGCTGACAGGGCTGGCTCGCTGACTGGGCTGGACTGAGCTGACTGGGCTGGACTGAGCTGACTGAGCTGGACTGAGCTGGCTCGCTGACTGGGCTGGCTCGCTGACTGGGCTGGCTCGCTGACTGGGCTCGCTCGCTGACTGGGCTCGCTCGCTGACTGGGCTCGCTCGCTGACTGGGCTCGCTCGCTGACTGGGCTCGCTCGCTGACTGGGCTCGCTCGCTGACTGGGCTCGCTCGCTGACTGGGCTCGCTCGCTGACTGGGCTGGACTGAGCTGGCTCGCTGACTGGGCTGGCTCGCTGACTGAGCTGGACTGGGCTGGCTCGCTGACTGGGCTGGCTCGCTGACTGGGCTGGCTCGCTGACTGGGCTGGCTAGCTGACTGGGCTGGCTCGCTAACTTGGCTGGACTGGGCTGGCTCGCTGACTGAGCTGGCTCGCTGACTGGGCTGGCTCGCTGACTGGGCTGGCTCGCTGACTGGGCTGGCTCGCTGACTGGGCTGGACTGGCTGGCTCGCTGACTGGGCTGGCTCACTGACTGAGCTGGCTCGCTGACTGGGCTGGCTCGCTGACTGAGCTGGCTCGCTGACTGGGCTGGACTGGCTGGCTCGCTGACTGAGCTGGCTCGCTGACTGAGCTGGCTCGCTGACTGGCTGGACTGGGCTGGCTCGCTGACTGGGCTGGCTCGCTGACTGGGCTGGCTCGCTGACTGGGCTGGACTGGCTGGCTCGCTGACTGGGCTGGCTCGCTGACTGGGCTGGCTCGCTGACTGGGCTGCCTCGCTGACTGAGCTGCCTCGCTGACTGGGCTGGACTGGGCTGGCTCGCTGACTGGGCTGGCTCGCTGACTGGGCTGGCTCGCTGACTGAGCTGGCTCGCTGACTGGGCTGGACTGGGCTGGCTCGCTGACTGGGCTCGCTCGCTGACTGGGCTGGCTCGCTGACTGGGCTGGACTGGGCTGGCTAGCTGACTGGGCTGGCTCGCTGACTGGGCTGGCTCGCTGACTGGGCTGGCTCGCTGACTGGCTGGCTCGCTGACTGGGCTGGCTCGCTGACTGAGCTGGCTCGCTGACTGGGCTCGCTCGCTGACTGGGATGGACTGAGCTGGCTCGCTGACTGGGCTGGCTCGCTGACTGAGCTGGACTGAGCTGGCTCGCTGACTGGGCTGGCTCGCTGACTGGGCTGGCTCGCTGACTGGGCTGGCTTGCTGACTGGGCTGGCTCGCTGACTGGGCTGGACTGGGCTGGCTCGCTGACTGAGCTGGCTCGCTGACTGGGCTGGGGTCGCTGACTGAGCTGGCTCGCTGACTGGGCTGGCTCGCTGACTGGGCTGGCTCGCTGACTGGGCTGGCTCGCTGACTGGGCTGGCTCGCTGACTGAGCTGCCTCGCTGACCTCGCTGCCTCGCTGACTGAGCTGGCTCGCTGACTGGGCTGGCTCGCTGACTGAGCTGGCTCGCTGACTGGGCTGGACTGGGCTGGCTCGCTGACTGAGCTGGCTCGCTGACTGGGCTGGCTCGCTGACTGAGCTGGCTCGCTGACTTGGCTGGACTGGGCTGGCTCGCTGACTGAGCTGGCTCGCTGACTGAGCTGGCTCGCTGACTGGGCTGGACTGGGCTGGCTCGCTGACTGGGCTGGCTCACTGACTGGGCTGGCTCGCTGACTGGGCTGGACTGGGCTGGCTCGCTGACTGGGCTGGCTCGCTGACTGGGCTGGCTCGCTGGACTGGGCTGGCTCGCTGGACTGGGCTGGCTCGCTGACTGAGCTGGCTCGCTGACTGGGCTGG